GATATTCAAGGGTGAAGCTTACCATTAAAGAAGTATTAGAGTGTCGGGAACATAATTCAACCCCCAGAACTGCTTTTGGATTTGACCAGCAAAGCCAGGGTTGATTGCAGAGGAGAATAGAAGAAGAGAAGAGTAAAAAAAAATCGAAGAAAAGGAAAACCCAAGCATCTGCGCTAGCCCACTTTAGGAATAGTCATCTTGGCAAGCGAATTGCTGAGCATCGCTCTTGTGTAAATCATCATCTTCATTGACATTCGTTGGATACTCCATAATACCTTTATTATACTGAGATATCATGGGTTTCCTGCTACTGCTGTTCCTGGTATTCTTTGCACCCCTGATACTCTTTGTTGGTCAGTATTCCGCACCATCCTTTCTTAGTCCCGACCGCAATACTAACACCGAACAGCATGGCTTGCAGCTTCATCCTGTCTGGGGAATCGCCTCCGTTCTATACGACCGGGATTGGACGGATATGGAGCGAGCTACCTCCGCACAATGGCCAATTCGGGTCCTGCTATGTCCGAGCAGATCGAGATGGATGACATGCTAGCAGAACCAGGGACCCACCGACACTTCGACGAGGACGATTGAGTCTAAGGAATCACGCCAATCACCAAGCGTCTCAGAATTCAAGATCCGATTTCTTGGGCATTCCGCCAGAAGCCGACGCATCTTGCGCTTCTGTGTCTCCTTCGGCAGGTGGAAGACTGAACGGTTTGATCTCAAATCGCCGGCGGCTCAGAACAAACGCCCAATCCTGTCCAACATTTTGATCGCTTCCACCGCCGCGCTCATGCAATACTGGAAGCCGATGCGTCTTCAGCATACCCTGTGGTGGTTCTTCTTGGGAGGTCGCCGCTCCCGAGGTAGCCATGGCATCCGCAGAGTGCGGGAAGGGACAAAGCTCAATCACGCCGTCACTGAGGAGTTCGATCCAGCGAACCAGCCCCGACGAGCGGGGATAAAGAGACAAAGGCATGGTGACCATTGCGGTCACGCGGGTGCTATGCGCACTCATCAGCGCTTTGAGGGCGTGGAAGAACTGGAGCACATGTTCGGGTTGGCAGGCGTTCGGCGGGTAAATTGTGGGGTTGAGCAGAGAAGGAATGACGATCCGGTGGATTGCATTGGCGGCGCTTGATGTGATTGCGGTCTGGAGTCGTATAAGGATAGCGAGAAATGGTGACTCTTTTGAAGGCATAAGTGGGATGAAGGACATGTTTGTGATAGACGGATGGGCGAGACGTTTCGTGAGATCGAAGGCATGACAAAAAGCGGGAGCTTCCTTTGCTGCTATTTCCTGTTCCCCAGGATTAGTAGGGACTATATTGATCAGCATATTGAAGCTATAGGCAGCGTTTTGTTTCTTTACTGACCACCCCGCGAACCGGCGACTGCCCCAAATTCGCCCAATCGCTCGTATCGCCATGCAATTTTCATGCGATCATCCTTGCGCCTATCTGATCTCTTCTCATCCAGAGACTCCGCCGAGCCGATCAAACCAGGCAGACTTCGGCCCCATTGCTCTGGTACTCCAATCACATGAACCTTTTGCTCTTGGATTACGCCCTCCGCCGCGTAGTAACGTAGCAATGCGCCTGCAAAATCCGTGGTTCCATTTTCTTCAACCAATAAGAGTTTTCCCATTGGAAGCCCTGCATGACCTGCAAGAAGATTATCTAGAGAGCGAGTCCCGGTCGAGGTTGTTGGCCGTCCATCATCTGGGGAGGGGCGAATGCCCGGCGTGCTTTCTGGCGCAGCGGGCTGTGCGGTAGCATTGGGAACAGCGTTGCGGTCAACTCCAGGAGAAAGACTAATGTTTCGCTTGCGAAAAGACATGGCGGAAAAATTCAGATCAAGTAAAAAAATTCCAGTGAAAATACAAGGAGCTGGTGTCAAACCAGCGAAATCGTTATCGGCGGGACCAAAAAGGCGGCAGAAAAAAAAGCTTCAACTCTCCGATCAACCTCTCCACCTCCGACTCCAACTCTTCTTCCTCTTCATCACTCTCGCACCCCCAACTAGCATTTGCGAGCCTTCAAACCTACAATTTATTGTGTACGGTCACACGCAAATAATACGCCATACCGAAACCCCCACCTATAGACCGAAAACCCCGCAGTCGCAACCTTCATCATGTCCGACCCGCTCCTCTTTGAAGATACCTTCACGATCACCTCGATCAACGCCCAGAAGTATGACCGCGTCTCTCGTCTTACTTGCAACTCGAACGATGCATCCCTCACCTTCACCCTGGATGTGAACACTGAGTTGTACCCATGCGCAGTCGGCGAGTCGCTCTCTCTCGCTCTGGCCTCTACTCTCTCTCTGGATGGCAAGGAGGACACCCGCGCCAGCTGGAGGGAGGTCAGCATGGGTGACCAGACCCTGGCAGATGACTACGATTATGTTTGCCACGGCAAGGTGTACCGCTTTGAGGAGGGCGCCACTAAGGACACCATGTGAGTTTCGTTACTGAAGTGTTGAATTTTGCGGCAGTTAACGTTTCAATTTCCAGGGCTGTCTTTGTATCCTTTGGAGGTCTACTGCTCTACCTGGAGGGTCCCTACAAGAAGCTTGCTCCGTTGAGAATCGATCACGTGTACTTGCTGCTCAAGAAATAGGCTTGCAATTGTTGGAACTCTCTTTTTTTTTGCTTACGAACTTGGCATAGGATGAGATGGATCTTGGATTAATCTTGAGGCAAAGCCCAAATGGGGGAAAAGTCGGTGTATTTAAGCCAGACCGATGTTCATATCGTTCTTATGGGGTGCAGCGCAGGCGTTCTTTGCATTTTGATTTGGGAATACCAATAGACTATCATAACCAACATGATTTTCATGGAACTGATGAGATGAACCTTGACTTGATCGATAATCACAACATGTCTCGCGCGGGTTGACCTCTTAGTGCTATTATTGCTGATGGCAGCTGCGTAGTGTCCCTTCATCTCCCTGTCTGTGCTTTCCAGACTCAGAATCCCCGCTCGATTCAACTCTAGTGGCTCACTTTGATTCATATTCGCACTTTTGATTAGATCATAGTACGGTTGTCCCCATGCTTCCATCACACCATTTGCTGCCATATGGGGGGTTGCAAGTCTCACACAGACTGCCTCTGTTGCGCAGAGGGGAAAGGCACCCGCCCGAAACCAGAATTAAAACCGCATGTCAAATCGATGATTCTTATGTCCACGATATCGAACCTATGTCTCAGGCTATCGAACAAAAAATTCTACCTCGCACAATGCGAAGCAGTCGGATACTCCAAGCGACGATGCAATCTAGCAACAATTTGCAAGTAGTCCGGCTCATTCTCCGGCGTCAGCAGCCCATGCCTTACAAAGAAATCAATCATGATATTGGCACAATTAGGCTTGAACTCGCCGCGCGCCAAAGCCGCGCGCACCTCCGAAATCGACAACAACTTGAATTCCTCGACCTCGTTATCCCCCGGCTTCGGGATAATCTCAGGATCAAGCTTGAGATCGTATACATACTCAACCTCGGGCTGAATGAGGCCCGTCTCGCCGCCCGCGCGCACATCCCGCACATGCGAGTACGTGACACAGCCCACGGAGACAATTGCAGCGCGCACCACCGCCTCAGGCAAGGAGGCCTCTTCCATAGCTTCGCGGACGATACACGCAAACGGCGTCTCGCCGGTACACATGCCGCCGGCGACGGTGTTGTCAAGGAGGCTTGGGTAAGTCTGCTTGTTCTTTGCGCGGCGTGGTACCCAGATCTTCAAGCCAGATTCATTTTCCACGTAGCCGGTTAGATGGGCGCCGTAGGAGACGATGCCGAAGAGCGGGGTTGCAGCGCGCTCCATCTCGAGTAGGAACTCTCCGCCCGGGCCATAAACTGCGTAGGTCTCATTGCGCCAGCCTTTCAATACTTCGAATTTGTCTTGCTTCACGGCTTCGGCTATGTCTGCTGCGACAAGCTTGCTCCGGTGTGTGGGGGTGACTCCCGCGGGAGTCACTAGCGTCACGGTTTGCGCGGTCGAGTCGATGGCCCAGCTGTTCTCAGACCAGGGAAACTTCTCGACCACTGTGTTGAGGATGTAGCCGAGTGTACAGTTGTATCCGGATACTTTGAATGCATGGTAATTGTTTAGGTTCTCCGTGTATGCGGCGCGATCATCCTCGTAGTAGGGGAAGCTGCGTGGTGTAAGACGAAAACGCGAGTGGATTGAGCAATCGAGTTAGGACAGCTTTACTTATCGCATTCGCCGACCAGGTCTAAATTGGATTTGCCCATAGTGAATCCACTTTTTTAAATTCAGAAGCTGATCCCAATTGTGAGGTAGAAGTTGGAAGTTGATGCCAACCTTTTGTCCTTTGTTTGGCCAGGCCAAACCCTTATCGGCCGTCGATAAGGGCAGCCCCTCCCATATCATTTCATCATCGAAAAACAAGACAAAGAGAAGCTTGAAGAAGCGTAAAGAACTTTGTAAAGATCTTGATCACAGCTCACCCTTGCCAATCTCCAACGCACCAGCCTCTCAAGCTACTTCTAACTCCTCTAACTACTACCACCACCCACCATGTTCTCCGTCGTGGTCCCAGGCCGCCCGTGTGTAACAGACATCGTCGCAATAGATAGTCAGCCAAATGGCCAAGCAACCAAATTCGCCTTCACGATCCCAGTCACCCCGTCCCTTAGTGATATAGTCATTTTCTTCCTACCAGGAACAACCCTCCCACCAAACACTGGCGCTGCTATTTACGCTCAACTTCCAGACCCGAATACCGGCCAACCCTCCGACTTCCGCTTCATCGGCGCATTGGCAAACGAAAAGCCCTCAGGGATCTTCAGCGTTCGACCACCGGGAACTACAGTGCACCGCTCAGAAGCCGAGGAAGAAGACGACATGCTTGACGAGGGTGGAGCCAACGGCGCTGCTGCAACGGGCGTCATGACACTGGGAATTTCTATCGAAGAAGCGCAGAACATTGCGCCGCAGCTTGCTGCGCTGGAAGCGGAATGCTCCTCTGGTTCAATGTCTATGGCGCTGGTTCGACAGGCTGGTGGGCAGAGACAAATCTCGACGAAGGTGCTGGCGCAGCGCATTATTGGCAACGCGTTTAATTACCTCGCGAGTTTTGCGGAGAGTGAAAAGGGTCAGGACATTGTGCCGCTGAAGAGCTTTCATAATTGGTGGGCGAAATTTGAGCGTCGCATTGAGGCCGATCCCACGTTTTTGGAACGCGAGGATCCTAATGCTAATTAAGGCGTAATCTGTGGGATCTCTGCTGTCTAGTATGTTGGCATTGGATTGGCTGTTATTTAATTGATCAGCCAGTGCTTCATTGAAGATTGCATTTGTTTTCGACTCGCTCTCGGCGGGTGTGCAGAAATGAGTACATGACATCTCTTGCATGTATTGATTAACGAGTTTCTTTCGTGATGTGTGACGATTTTCTGCTTATTCTCTGTGACCTACTGGAGTTTATCTCATGTAAAAACAGGCTCTATCGTGGTTTTTTTTTTCTCTTTTGATAATAAGACTTTTGGAAAAGCTGAAAAGGCACTACCCCTTCTGCATGGAAACATGCGCACTTTTGCATCGATATCATCTATCTACTCGTTAAAAAAAGTTATATATATGCATCCCGAGACTATTTAAAGCATTTTCCACGTAGAACAAAACGAAAACTTGAACCAACACACAAATCCCTGAAAACGCCAATCCAAGTTCTTCGACATGTGTCACCTCGCGCCAGTTGTGACATGCAAAAGGAAACCCCCCCCCCCCCCAAAACGGGAAGAAGTAATCAACATGCAGTCGATCCACGTGAGACATTCTGCAACGACGCATCAGGCCTCATCCGAATACCTGGCGCATAGCAAAGACTATACAACTCATCGACATAAGTCGTTGGTGTAGTCTCAGCCCCTCCGACAATGACCGGCTTCGCGTCCCGGACACCGAGGATGTTCTGGTTCGACTTCTCAAGAAGGTGAGTAAAATCAACCCGAACCTCCTTTCGAACAGTGATATCCCGCAATGCGGTCGCGGTATGATCTACAATCGACTCCTGTGAGTGTCGTGAGCCGGAGCCCGAGTTCAAAGTCGGCGAGCTCTTGCGTGATGGCCACAGACGGAGGATGGCCATCTTAGCCGTGGAAGCAAGATCATTCTCGTGAGCGGTCGAGCCCGAGCGCACGTCGGTGCAGAAGAGTTCTTGGCCCAGTTCGCGGGCGAAGTCATCGCGGTCTGTGAGGGCTTCGTTTACTTGTTGCTGGACACGGAAGAGGCGGAAGGGTGTGAAGGTGTAGTCTTCGTTGGAGATTTGGGTGTCGAGCGTGCCAACGACGCAAAAGGCTAGGAGGGTGCAGGTGTTTTGTAGGGTGGTTTCTGGGTTGGAGGGTCTACTGCGGCAGGGAGCTATTAATGGGCGGGAGGAGAGTTGCGCTGCTGCGCGCAGGTCTTCGGGGATGGTGTTTGAGAGGGACCTGATGGAACTGGTGAGGTGGGCGCGGAAGTCGGCTAGATTAGGGAAGGATTGTGCTGCGGCGGCTGACTGGAGGTATCGTATGCAAGAGTCCATAGACCAGCCTTCCATGTGGGAGATTAGTTCCCGGTGATGGACTTGAAGTTGCTTGATTGGGAGGGTTGCGGAAGGGAGGGGGTTACCGATGCCCTTTGCGGTGAGGATCTCGAAGTGATCGTGGATTGTTGGACGCATCATGAAGGAGACGAGGTGTACCCCCTCATCAAAGCCACGATTTGAGCTTGCGTAGTCACGCATGTCGCGCAGGGAGGCGGCCAAGTTTGCTTCGGGAACGTGGATTCGTCGGGAAAGCATGCCTGTGACATGCTCGATGGTGGCGAACCGGAACCCCAGTGATCCCAGTCGTACTGCTTCATGTTTCTGTAGCTGGCGAACAGTGAACATGATTTGGCCCTTGCCCGTGCGGAGGGACGAGCGGCCCATGGCTCGAGAAATCCGAGAGATGGGGATAGCAGTAGAGATAACATCGTCGTAGAGTGTACCTAGTTCCTGGAGAGGCAGAGAAAGATCATTTGAGAGCTCTTGGGCCGTGACACAGAAGAGTTGCTTGAACAGGGTATCAAAGTCAGTTTTCAACTCCGTGTCGTTGTCCATAAACACTCCTCGGGATAGCACGTGTTTCGCAATGGCACTTTCTTCGGAATTCAGGCGATTGCGCATGAAGGGAACCAGATCTTTCACGACAGGCCAGTTCCGAGTTGCCCTAAAGGCCCATAGAAACGTAGGGTGGGTGCGGGTGAGGTCGTCGTCTTTGAATGTCTTGTTCGCTGTTCGTTAGTCGAGACTTCTCTAGGGCTATTATTCTCTGGGGACTAAGAGACACACCCGTCCGATATAATGATCAACAATCTTTTTTGTCGGAAGCAAAGCCTGCGTTGTAACCATGATTCGTCCAGTGGGATCAAAGTAGGCACCGGCGAGAACAAGCTGATGGGCACGTGTCGTCGACTTTCTGCGATTTCGCCCAGCGACGATCGCGCACATCGACAAGACCACACATGCCACACAGGCCTAAGGAGCAGTCAGTCTCCCAAGACCCCCAGATATTCGACGTAATCTCAGACATACCAGAACAGTGCAGATGATGACAACCTGACTCCTCGACAATTGAGTTCCCTTGATGATCCCGCGGTTGTGATCCAGATAGACCGTTCCCACAGCTGCAGTCCAATGCATGCCTGAGACAGCACCCGCCAATAGGCAAGCACAGATCCCTCGTCTCCACCAGCTATCCGTCCAAGATGCTCTCCATCGGAAGAAGATGCCCAAGGCGGCAGTGCTGGAGAAGATAGCAATGATCGCCGAGCCCACGACGTTGGCGACATGGTATGAGCACCTGTAGTTCGAAATTCCAAGTTGACCAACGTAGTGCATACCACAGACAGAGCTACCCGTGAGCAGGCCTCCGACGAGGATGCGAATATAGCCTGCCTTCTCCTCGACGCCCACGGCGTAGAAGGCAAATAGCAGGACCACCACGGGGAGGACAAAGGAAGTACCTGTGAATGCGACATTGTATAGGACTTGCACGTCTGACTGGCCTTCAGCTAGAACGATGGCACGATTGCCGATAAAGTGCATACACCAAATACCTATGCCACCCATTGTGATCGATGAGGTTAAGAGAAGGTACCTTGGTATTATTTCATGATGAGTTGCATGTCTCAATGCTAGAGCAGGATAGAATCTTCGGGCATACCAGTTGTATAGACCTGATCTCGATGTCCGTCGGTGAAGCAGCTCCAATGTGGTCACGCATCCCATTGCGCTGATCACATAAGAGAGGACGATGTACCCCGCCAGGTACGTGACACGTACCGGTGGCTCATGATATATCGTTACCATTGTAAAAAAGAAAGATAAGTAAGAGGGGTTGGTCTTCTGTTATTCGCACATTGGCGAGCAGCACAGATCGTTGGACGATACGATGTTAGAAGACGACCGTTCTAATCAATATCAACGTGACAACAAGGTGAGATTGATTTTGAGCATCAGGGTAGAGAACAAAGCAAAAGATGTTGAAGATCCCAAATTCCAAAACTACTGGAATAAGGTGCGAGATATATCACTTATAACACCAGGGTACTCCGCACATCAACCAGCCTAAGCGCCCTTCTAGTCTCATACTATAGCTCCACGGTACAACCAAACCCTCCGATTCTCAACAGATTAATCGACGTGTACTACGATGGCACCCTAGTCCAGTCGGGACGTGAACTCTACCTCAAGGGCCACGCATGGGCCTGCAAGTGACCCCCAGGCCCACAACTCGCGTGGCATGTACATGGAGACATCAAAAGTTTAAAAAAAAAAACGAAAAGGTCAATGCCGAGGTCGATCTTACGCAAACAAGTTCGAATCAAAAATATTCAATACAATAGTACGAAATAAACAGGGGGTTCCAAGGCTCTTAGATTTGTTGGTATGGTAACCGTCAACATATCCGATCCGATCTAGATCGGATCGGTGCGGATACAGAATTGTGGGGGCAGGGCTTTGGGGGGCGTATCAGAGCCCTCACATAGCGCCCATTGGCCCGTGAGCATCGGACTTTAGTCTGTTAAGTGGTCTACATGATATACAACAGACTTTCCCGTGTCTCGATTTGAGACACCTCCGATAATGGGAGTTGTGTTAACCACGGAAACTACATCTCTAGACGGAGTCTCCGAGATTGTTTGTTCTTCTAACTCCCTGTGGAGTTCTCCGTGCAAATTTAAAGCATGGAGGGTTCGATCTACTGTTTGGATAAATGCTGGGAGCCTCGGGCCACGCTCACCAGCGAATTCAGCTGCATCTCAGCTGCGGTCATCCCAGAGAAAAAAAAGGGGGCCCACTTTGATACGCGCTTAGATGTCTCTCAAGTTAAAATTCGAAGACTCCACCTATTTGGAGTACAGATATGAGCGTTCTTCTGAATATGCATGTTAAGCATATTGATCAATCAGATGAGCCGCTATCACGAACGCCACTAAGAGTCCAACATGTTAGAAATCCGGCATTCGGGATATGCCCCTGGTTGACACGGCTTGGTACAAAAAGCCGTGATAGGATGACCGGCTAATTTAAATAAGATTGCCTCGGCGAAAACGAATAGGAGAAGAGATCAGAGAGCGCGAGCCACATAAAGTCCCACCTCCATGAGGATGCACATATAAAATTAAACCCAGATTTGGGAACCGTGTCCCAAGCGCGTTCTGAATTTCAAGAATTTTTCTCGCTGGATCACAGAGATTAAAGTTAAGAACGGATTCAAATAACAAACTTCTGATCGGTCTAGTTTTGGAGTCCACTCGGATCGTAGGGTCGTCGGCTAAGGGAGACAAAGAAGGGTAGGTACCTTATATGCAGTGGCTCCAGATGGATTCGGTGTGATGGATCTTCCTCAAGGCAGATAGACCAAAGTCACTAACGGCTACTGTGTCTTGTCAATCGCATGGCTAAGCATACGATGCATCAAATGTATCGCAAACTAGAGGTTAGGGTGTTGGCTTCGTCACATGTTTAGCTTGCGCAAGGTTTGATATAGATCGGTTCTCGTTCTCATTCTCTTTCTCGCTTACTCTGACTGAAATTACATGAGATATTTGAAAATCAAAATCAAGGCAGCCTTGTCATTGAAGTCAAGAAAGTGCCCTACGTTGTATTAACTCCACTTCCACAATGGCTCTTCATCTAGGTCTGATGTGCCTTCCAGTCCCTCTGCGGAAAAGACATCTTCACTGCGTTCCACCACTCCTTGTCCTTGAAATAACACCCTCTCCTGTCCCCCTCTGTCTGAAACCCGATCCCCTCACACACCGTGCCCACTCGCATATTCCACGATTCATCTCTACCCGATGCAGGCCGGTATTGTTGAATGCCCAGTTCAAAGTCCACTTGAGTGCCTCGGTTTAATAATTCTGGTACTCCTTTGAGATGCTGATCCCCAGTGTGGAGCATTGATGGTGGACCATATCTCGAGGAGATGACTCCAAGAGAAGCGTACCAAGAGGTACGAGTGCGCCGAACTCATGTTTTCCGTAGATGATCACAAACAAGTGTGAGTTCCTCTCGAGGTGCTTGGCACCGCGGAACGATGAGGTCCATTGGTCGTGGGGTTGATGCGCACCAGTTGATGATTGAAGAGGAAGATGTTTGAACATTGTTGAAGAACTCGGCATTTTCTGAGGGATTGTAACTCCTCATTTCCAGGGTCTCGGTTTGAAATACCTCTGAGATGACCTCTTCACCTTGACCACTGTCCGAATCAGTCGCCACACTTGAAGTGAGTGATTCTTCGATGAAGAGAAAGATGATGGAAAAGCCACAGCATCTGACAATTGATGTCGGCAGCTATTGAATTGCTTGCCGTCTTGTAGACACAATTCCCTCTCTCAGATCACATCTGCGCCACGCAGTTCAAACTTGTAACTCTTTCTATAGCTGTCTACCTTTCACAGCTACTTCTCCGGCCGTTTCAACCAAATTGTTCGGATGTCTCCGATCTTCTCTCTCCTTCAAATCCCCCCCCCCCCCCCCACCGAATGGTGTTGAAGACATCTCTTGTCAAAAGATGTAACCAGTTGGAGTTTGACATCCAAATGGGAAGGACGTTGATGATCCACATATTGGACAACAATGTTCTACAATTCTGTCTACGATCATTCTACAGCGAACCCGTGGAAAAGCTCACTGCAGGTTGCTGCACGTAATTTGTCGATCGGGCTGCATGCAAGCCGTAGCACAGAACTAGTACCAAATGTACATATCTCTTTTCCACCTTAAACCCCACGTTTTAGGCAACTCTCCTCTTCACTTGCATATTTTACGGTAGAAATAAATAAAGTTCATTAGCCCAGGCCTCACAGCAAAATCACCGCATCGAGAAGCCAAAGCAAGCAAGGAGTCCACATCGCAAAGACACAAATATTGGTAGAATGGTATGTATTCAGGATTCAATTAGATTGCCCATCCCGCCAGATTAAAAAAAAAAGGGTCATAGACCAATGGTATGAACAAGCACGAATCTCAATTTTCGAATCTATGCAAGGATAGCCTTGAGACCGGCCTGGATGGCAGGGGGGTTGGCACCCTTGACCTCCTGCTTGCGCTCACCACCGTTGTAGAAGTGGAAGGTAGGCATGGCAGAGACACCGTTGGCAGCGGCAACCTCGGCGAGGTCATCAACGTCGACCTTGTAGAACTGGACGTCGGTGTGGGCCTCACTGAGCTTTTCGAGGGTAGGGGCAATGGCCTTGCAGGGACCGCACCAGACGGCGTGGAAGTCGACGACGACGGGGCCGGTGGCCTCGGTGACCTTGGTCTTGTACTCCTCGGCGCTACAGGATTGTTAGCTGTTGTTGATGATGTTTTGCGAGATGACCAGAGAGAACTGTAAGATGATCCGGGATCCAAACATCGATGGGAATATGAGCGTGTAGTTGGACTTACGAGGTAATAGCAGTGACACCCATTTTGAGAGAAGAAGGCGTGAAGCGCGGGATAGGTGTGGAAGAGAAGAGTCGGGAAGCGGCGCACTGAACGGACGTCGATCGATTAAGTAGCGATGAAATTCCGGAGATGGTTCTGGGAGTCCAACGAAGAGATGAAGGCTTGAACTGGAGTGGATATAAGTATTTCAATTGGAGGGGTAGAGTGAGGGGCGCTGGGTTTTTATAGGGCCATGACGTTCCCAGCATAGACGATTAGGTAAGACGAGCTGAATAATGGATCGGAGCCCCGGTCTGGAGATCCGGAAGTCTCTGGAGCTTGCTGGGGGTTCGACTGGGATTGTTCCAAGGCTAGGAAGTTTTCAATGGCGACTTACCATGATGAGATTTGTCTGTTACAGAGTACTTTGTGTTTGATTCTCTTGTAACTCCGTACTTGATATCAAATGTCGCTGGAATCCAAGTGAGGTGAAGGGGATGACGTGCTCCCGACCTCGGGTCGCTTACGAATAAGATGGAGTCTGGAACTGTCAGCATTTCCCGCGACAACACTTCCACATGTCCCCAGGTTGTTAGCTGGTTAGTTTTGCTTCTTACCACTTATGCCGTACAACTACTCTGAGAAAAATGGTGAGAGTGCGATTATTCATAGGCCCCAAAATAAACGGAAAGATCTTCATCAAGCACAGGGCACCCAAGCGCAGCCTACTAAAAAAGCTCATTCTGGGTATCATGCAGCGTCGTCTTGTCCTCAATGCAGAGTTTCCCTCTTCTAACGTACCAACTGTCATCCGTAGCGAAAGATCCAATATCCTACACTCATTTCCACCGATTGACAAGTTGTATATTTTTATTTCTTCAACCGTCACGTCGCGGACTGGAAATGCGGTATATCAAAAACGTGAGAAAAGACGTTACATTGCTCATTTTAGACCACCCTAGCCACGTTTCTAAAGTATGTCCGGAGCCTAGCTATGAGGCTCCAACAGGTCGATGCAAATGGATTTTAACGCCGCATTGTCACTGTCACTAGCGGCCTCGCTAAATTCGGCGTTGCCCATGCGGAAAGCTCCCTAGGTAACATCTGGAAGTGCGAAGTTCCTATTTACTGTAGTAGCAAATCAAGATTGTAAAGGTCAGCATGCCGAGTTTGGCTGGCAATCCATTCGTGCACTTTCAGAACGAGCTTAGATGTTCATATATATAGTACAAGTACTCCGTAGATGGAGCCAGAATGCATATTATACATTCAGGTAAAGCTGTCCTTAAAGTGAAAACCCCAAACTTGTGCTGAATGCCATTCGCGAGCCCCATCGTCGATTGCCCTGAAGAATGTCTCTGGACTCTCATATACAGTAATTTGTAGAACAAGTTCCCAAGTAGGAACAGCAAAAGGTATCAATGATAGAGACTGTGGATCGTAATATTAGAAATACAAGAAGTCTTTTGGGCACCTGGGCAGGTTGCCAGCAATGGTGGCTGGGCTTTTGCTGAACACAATCAATCCATGGGAACCTCAAAAGTGTTATCATCACTAGATCTCAATGTATAATAACCCTGCTTGATCAGAAATGCAAGTCAATAGATTCCGAGAGAAAATGCCATGTCATATCAATATCACCATTCGAAGAATAGAAAGTCAAAAAGGTCAGAGGCGGACTATGTGCAATGATGAAAAGCGCTCGAAGGGAATAAGATTTTATGAACTTCGTAATGTATTCAAACCAGGGAGAAGAAGGAATAGAGACTATGCATATGGTGAAGATAGAACATGGGGCATCGAAGGGGGTATCAACAAATCGAATAGAAAGGACGAGCTCGCAAGGGCAAGAATAGGACACAGAGCGAGGGGTGTCAGAATCGTACAGATGGCCAGAGGGTACATCCTATGGCTCACGGATGGATATTCCGACAAAGGAAAGCAACAACGGGAAGGTTCAATGGACCTCAGTGGTAAGTTTGGTCTTAGTCGTAGCAATGGTTGATGGGCCAATGGCACCGTCTGATATGCCATGACACAGATAAGTGAGGTGATGGTAGGTCCAGTTTGACTGCTATTAAATGGCGATGGTGATCACTAATACCAAGTCTACTGGGCATAACCAATCTTGGCTCTCGCGCTGGGGATTCGCTGCAGTTCGGAAGGGGTGGTCTCCTCCAGAATGTAATCTTCTTCCGCGGAGATGGGGGTCAACGAGGGGAATCCTCTGAGCATTCCTTGTGTGGATATGGGACGGAACGCCGGGTTCACCACAACAGCGCGGCGGCCGACCTCGTTGTGCCATCTCTCAGTGGGGTAGCTGTCCGAGCCGTCTACGACTTCCGGATCGAGATCTGGTTCAAGGATATTGCTACTAAGACGGCGGGGCTCATCCATTGATTCAACATCTTCGGAAGCATCCGCCGGAGCCTCCACCGAGTCCTGGCCAAAGAATTTCAAATTCGATCCTGCAGGACTGCAGGGCTTTTGTGACATCCGACGGAAAAACTGGCCTGACATCCAAGATCCCTCGGAATCAATTGAAGCCAGAGACTGGGAAAGCGGCACGTTATCGGCTTCAGTGTCTACACCTTCAGAAGCCAACGATCGATGATAGCTTCGATTTGGGTTTTTGATATCCACACAGGGGCTAGGCGTTGGTTCACGCAAGAAAGTCTCATCCCTCTCGAGAGAGGACTCGAGAACTTCCTCCGGGATATCTGGCGACTGAAGACGGGAGTCAGGAAGTGAAAGAGGTTCGTCGCCAAAGTGTTCAGTGAACTTTGATTGAGAGCGCTTGACGGTTCCAGTGGGCATTAGAATCCTTGGGTGGGCAATCGAGGGCGGAGGCGATGTTTGGGTCTGAATTTTGTAGAAAGATTCGTGCGAGGCGTTGGAAAATTCAAGAACATTGTCGTGGAATCGCTCTTTGTACGTTCGCTTAAGACGGGAAGAACCACGCCTGAACAGGGACGTGATAGTGTTTCCCCGACGTCCGCTGGTGTCGGAAAGTCGACTTTCCGAGTCAACTCCTCTAGAAATGTCCGATGTGGAGCTGGGCCCACCAATTTGTGACTGGGCTGGGCTATTGATGCCATGGCGAAGTGACGAATGAGACGGGGAAAGGGTGGTCCGGGACATGCTAATATCGTTTGACGGGGCGAAGCTGGGACGTTGAACCAATCTCCGCTCACGAATGGAGCCATCATCGACGTTTCCTACTACACGAGAACTTTCCCGCGATTCGCGGCCAGGGTTCTCGCTGCCCTTGAAAGCTTGCAGCAACCACGATTCTTTCCTCGGTGCGACAGCTGTCGGTTCATCAACTAGAGGGGCAATGGTCTCTTCATTCAGGACAACATCCTCGGGTTCAGAGACTTCGGCGATGGATGGCTCCGGTTGAGTAATTTGAGGTCCGGGTTCGGATTCGACATGAGTGGCGGCCTGGAATTTTTGTTCTTCCGCCTGCTGAGCATCAGCCCTCTCCTGCAGCTTCCGCCGCAGCCTTTCCTGATCGTCAACCTGCTTCTTTTCCCGGCGGCGACGATCCCGATCCAGCAGCTCTCTCAAAGCCCCGGCATCTAATGAATCAGCGAGTTCATTCACTCGTCGTTTGGAATAGTAGAAATCTTCCTCAGACGTGGTCAAGGCTTGAAGCCTCTCTCTCTCCTGTCGACTAGACGATGGTGGGTTGCCGCTTCTAGCAGTCTGCAGGCGAGGGGCTTCGACATAATGAACGACAGGGCGTGGGGTCAAGACAGCAAAAGCATTGACCTTGTAGGTGTAAGGGTCAGAGATGTCCGACGTGGAGGAAGTGGCGGAGTTACGGATGGAGAGACTTATATCAGACAGGTACCGGTCGGCACGTCGACCATTTGCTTTTCGGCGGCGATTTTCCAGCACATTATCATTGGGGATATCGATTGGGGTGGACGACAGCATTCGAATCTCACGCTCCCGCATGATCTCGTTTGCTTTGCGCTTGCTCAGCTTTCGTCGTAGTTTATTCGGGACATGTGCATTTTGGCTTGGTTTCCGCCTCAGCAGCGAACCTGTTCTTGAGAGTAGATGGTCACGCGGCGGAGGGTCCCGTGGATGGTCGGCAGAAGTAGGGCGGTCAAGAGATAAGATAGGTCGATTTGAACGCACGAGGGCCAAACTGCGCCGGCAGTCTGCAGTCTCCGCCCGTGACGTGTGGTTGTTCGGGCGTTTGGACTTTTTGCGACCCAAGGTGGGCTCAACGGCGGTTTCAGCAAACGAGTGAAGATCAGCCGCTTCGGCACCGGTCACTTGGATGGTGTGCCGCTTGCTCTTGCGATTGAAGGGCCATATCGCCATGGCACTTTGAGGGCACAGGCCCAGGGACACGTGCGATCGGTTATCTCGGTTTGGTGTCTTGACAGTTTGACTGAAGTCATGGAGGGTGGAAATGAGAGTTGAAGAAAGTGACTGGGAGTCAGGGTAATGACATAGGCGTCATTGAGAGAATGGATAGGAAACGAGAAATTGCAAAGGTTGAGAATTCTATCCGAAGGGAAGAGACAAAGAGAGACACCCAGAAAGAGCGAGGAAGGAGAAAGGTGAAAACTGAAAAGGCGAAAAAAAAAAAATTGAAAAATTGAAAATAGGCCCAAAGGGAAATCCAGATATGGGCCATGTATTTTGCCTGAAAAACAGGACTTGGCATTTTTGCTTTTTCTTTGTATTTTAGTTATTGTATGTTATTATGTTTAATAGATTGTATATTGTATTCTATCTATTCATTCGATATTGTTTTGTCCAGCTGGGGTACCTGGTACGGCCCTACGTTGTTCAACAGTCTCTTGTCACACTGAGAGTCTAGATTTCTTTTGGAAATTGGCAGTTGACCTGTGGAGAGATCCACTTACTGTGGACTTCAGAATGACGCACTGTGAAATTTATAAATATAGACATCCCTTTTGTATATTCTAGTGTATCTTCGACATGGATTATCTAATTCTTTCTATCCACCGGTTACCCATATTTTGGAAATGTGGAATATTGGCCCTTGACCCTGACTCCGTACAACCAAGTCCAATGTCCAATGCACACCCTCGTGCCCTCTCACGCGGGAAAAGCCAAGCCACCGTTTAAACGCCCGGTGGAGTCCAGACTGAGACCGGCATAGCCTTTCGTTGGGTTGACACGCGGGAATGGAGTCTATATTACGCAATTTACCAGGACCTGGTTCAAAAGTGTCTGTCCCTTTAAAACTAGTCATCGGAACCTGTAGGGACTACAACATATATGTTAGCATTGTAAGGGGAAAGATATCGTGCACATGCTTGAATGGAGAAATGATCGGCGGGATTCCCTTATGGGGATGTCTTACTTTCCATAGGATAACAATCTATTTCCCGCTAAATCCAATTCTGATGCCTATTACGGAGCATATTATTACAGATTGTCTTGCCCTTTCTGCCTTGGTTCGATTCAATATCATGGACAATCAAAGGCGTCTAACAAGCTAATACGACACAAGGAGTACGGAGCATTACGATGCTAATTACTAATTATATTCATTGAGAATCCAGCTACTTGCAAGGTATCCTAATATTTGATTTTTGATTCAAGATGGGTCAGATAAGATCCAGGGTGTAGAGTCCCTCCTTGCCTCTATAATATCCACCCTTTATTGTTATACTCCGTAGTATTATATTCCCTACTCCACAACTACGTAGTAGTTATCCCACCTGTGCATCTTCTCTCCCGTGTTCTATAGATACCCCGAGGCCCCCTACCATTTTAACCTTTACAGCGTGGCTTTACAACATCAATACCATACCTCCGGTCTCAGATTGTTCCACCACGGTTCCTGCATTTTGATCGCAACGGTAGACCCTCAGTTCAGTTGCCACCCTCTGATCTGACAACGGAGAACGCTGTTCGGTCTTAGATGCCAAGAGCAACTCAGAGACACCGTCTAGAATCCGATTTCGTAGGGGGTTTGAGCCACTCAATCTGCAAGGAGCAGAAAACCGCGACATGCAAAGTCCGGTATTTTATTATTTGATTTTTACCAAAACACAAGCTTAGAAAGGCTGGGAACATTTGATGTATCTCATTCCCGATCTCATGCTCCAGTACTCTACCCCGTACAGTTTAGAGATGTATGCCCATTGCTCAATTTGACAGGACTCTAGGTAGGGCTGGGAAGGATCGGGGCAAGCCATTGAGAATTCGCCACGAAGGCGGCCGCCACCGCAACCCACCCAAATCGGCCAGGGCATCTCAGATCGCAACCAATGACTTTACTACATATGGAGTACTCCGCACCCATAATCCAATTGGATCCAAAAGAAATGACAGTTGAGACCGACAGAATCCAAAACAATGTCCCTACCCGCCAACTCTAGCCAAACGCCGAAGACACAATACGCAGACCCGCAATCCTTGCAATCCCGAGGAGAAATAAACAGCGAAACTCGTTGGAGAGATCTAACCGGTGGGCAGCAAATGTGATATAGAAGACGGAGTACATCTTCTCCATGTTCCTCCACCCTAACCATGTCCGCCCGGACCGGTACAAGTGTGATCACCACCGTCAACCAACATAGTCTCTCTCGCCATGAAAGAAGCTCAGCTGCCCATGCGCTTCCTCAACCGATTCGACTCTCGCTCCAAGACGCTGTATTTGCGACCCCCCCGTCGGCTCAGAAGGCGTCTGATCGACCAGCCACTGTGGCTGTGGGCATCGGATGTAGATCGCGGACCGAAGCCCTGGATCTCGGATCCAAGACGGAGCTTCTGGTTAGGCTGGGAGCCTGTCGTTGGCAGTTGGGCATCCATGATTTTGTTTTCGAGGGCGTTGTCAAAGTAGGTGACGTGTGTGGTAGGGTGTTGAGGCGAGGAGTGGGGGTGGCTGGTGACTGTCAGATGGCCGTTGGGATTTCGCGCGTGGATGCAGGTATAGTTCGTTTGAGAGCTAGAGTGATTTTGGCGTTTCGTGTCTCTGCTTTTGGTTGGAGGTGAGGTTGATGCTGGTTTGGTTAGGGACCGGAGAGCGGGGTTGGATCTTGTGGGGCATGACGAGATACTTTTGTCCTTGGTGATCTCTGATCCCTACGAGATAGTCAACCTTGGAAATGACTCGGTAGTCTTTATCTTGCAGAGCATTAAGGTTCAGGGCGCTTGGTGAATCTGTAGCTACGCCCTCATCTGGCCACTTATTCCAATCGTGTTAGGTGATCCAGGTGGCTTAGACTTTGTTTCCGCTCGATATGAAGTGATTCGATGGTTATGCAGAGTCTGATGATGATCCACTTCTGTTTCAGGATTCAACGCCTTCATTAAAAATATCCAGTCTTACCTATGCGGTACCGACATACATCCCAGACCGGGTTGTGAGAACATTGTAATAAAAAATACACTGTAACAAGGCTCAAGGTTCCTATCGATATTCAAAGGTTGATTAAGGTTCATTTAGCATGCAGTTAGGCCCGCGTGACGTGTTTTGGGCGCGGTTCTATATCTCGCCTGCGTGAGATTCGCGGTACAATGTGGAATAGTGCATGACGTAATCGTGGCCCCCACGAACACCCGGTGGTGGTGGCCAGCGGACAACAAATTCTCGCCGGATCACAAATTGCAAAATCAAGGATCTTTAAACAGCAAATCTATGGAAAGGTACTTGCACGCTAACTTACCGTAAGCTCAATTTTCTCAACCTTTAGACTAGTTAGGGAGAATCCAAGAAGGCGTACATGGTATTAGTGAAGGCTCAATCACTTCATCTCAATCTTAGTAAAAAATTTTGAGTGTTCTTAAGGAAGAGAGTAGTGGAACTTTAATAAACAGTAGTTAATATGTTGTGCTTTTTTAAGACACTCTTTGTACCTCTCTATATAGAGAATTTTTAGCGCTAAATTTAGTAGATCGATAAAGGCCAGCCTACACAAGGTCTGTAAGTTCTTATTTTTGCCCAAGCTAGTCTGAAAATTGAGAAATTTGGAGGGTACGGACTGTTTATGCACAAATATCTTTTGTATGGAGTGAACACATGAAAGATACTTAAATTGAAAATTACGATCCGGTGAGAATTTGTTATCCGCTGAGGTCCACCAACACCGGGTAGGTGACGGTGGGCTTGGCACGATTATGTCGTACTTGAGAAATGCAAGATCCTCAACTGATAGGATTGCTGAATTTCTAAATTGTTTTAAACCCGTTATACCCCAGATCCTAATTGGCGGATGAGGCCGAATTCCTATATCTCTACTGTCCTAATATTCAACATCTAGGGTCTGGCGATCTCTGTCTGGAACAGGAAAGCCTCGGCCAGGCCACATACAGAGAGCTAGAAATACTGTTCCATGGTCCCCCAATATCTGGAGACCCGATGAAGTTATCCTCTTCGCCCAAGAACCCCGCATCTGTGTAGTCACATCCAACAAATGTTCTTAATGGACAGAATGGCCAACTAACCTCGCAGTCGCATTGGATGGAAGGACCCGAAAGAGAGACAGAGAGAGTGTGTGTCTCAGTTGAGAAATAAAACTGTCTAGAATCTGTGAAGTGTCGGTCTGGGTGTGTTTAAAATATCTAAAGAGAGCATGAGAGCCCATTGAATGAAGAGTCTCTCTATCTTTCCATTTTCCCATGTGTGTTTAACAGAGAACCTGGTATCATTCAACCCCTCCTGACCTCCTTTAAAAATCCATACCGGAGACGATAACTTCACTAGCCAAACGCTAGCACCATTTACCTAACCCCGTTGTGGTCGCCTGACACCCTGGAATCCTTTCCCATCATACACAAACATCGCACTCGCCTTCACCGACTTTCTGATTGGTTTCTTCCCAACATGGCAGCCCTGTGGATATTCGTGGCTCTTGGTTACTTGCTGCTGTATGCGTTCGCGGCGATGCAAACGCAGCAATGGCGTGTCATCAACCGCATTGCCATCTGAGCTTTTTGCCATGATGTGAGAGGCGGGAGAGGAGACAAATAGGCTGCACAGCCCGGGTTCAATTGTTGCCTTGTTACCCATTCGGGTCATGCTGCGCTGCGGATTGGATGGCTAATCACGTTTCATGACCCACAATTATGCGTGCGACTTGCCCATTTGATGAACTGGGAGGCGAAGAGACATGCCGGCTGGGAATCTCGAGGCCAGGAGGCCTGGACAAAGAACCCATGTGCGGAGGTGATCCCTTCTGTGGGTTCCATCAAAGATTTTCAAGGTATAAGAATGCCAAGGAGCTCTGCTACAACTGGAGTCTTTGATAAATAATTCATGATGACGACTGCATGACTGGGATGGAAGGCGTTTGATACCACAAAGACTAGACTACAATTTTGTACTTTGTATGAAAGACTTTGAGATTCACAATTTTTTTTCTTTTTTTTTGCGTTCGATCAAGCCTCTTATCAAGAAAGAATCGCTCGAATTGAAAGCCATTCCATATCTATGTTCATCCATGTCGACGTGTTTGATGAGAGGAACAGAGAGGGATGTGATGCGCCCACGACCGTGCAGCTTATGGTTGTGCTGTGTACCAGATATTAATTTGACAGATGTTCCCGTTGAATTTGGACGTGTGAAGAGGAGCAATCCCGTCTTGTTCGCTTGAGAAGGTCTTCACACATGGTAGGGCCACATAAAATGCACATGTCACATTAAAATATTCCCTGTCATCTTGGTGAAACTTTGTGAGGAACCGAAAGGTTCATAGCAGACAAGGCGTCGCTACGACAGTTTTTCTCCTCAGAACCAGATTTTGATCAATTCCTCACTGACAGCACTGGGCGTCAAGACACCGCTATCTGTGATCAGTGCAGAGATCAGATGAGGGGGAGTGAAATCAACTGAGTCGCAGAGGGGTAACTTGATTGGGATGTCTCCATTTGTATCAGCAACAGAAGACTGCTGCTCGCGCTCCTCTGCAAGGTCTTCCTCGGACTTGAACTCAAGAACTTGCTGCTCAATTGGCAGGTCATACTGACCAAGAGGGTACAAGCGAACAAACTTGTGGCTCTCTGCTACCACGTAGAATGGCTTACCAATAGCCTTGGCGAGGAGCCCGATCTGGTAGGTTCCCATCCGAGACACAATGCCTCCATTCTCCACCACACCCTCCGCACCCACAATGACCATATCAGCCTTGCCAAGAGAATATGCCACCGCAGACTCGGGAATTGTTGAAACTGGCACACCCTTTGCTCTCAGAGCACGGACTGTTTCCATACCCTCCGGTTCTTCATTCGGGTGCTTGCAATCTGGGGAAGTCGAAGACAGAACATAAATAACACGGAACCGTACAGCGGAAGGGCCACCTTCTTCATCTGCGGCTTTTTGCAGTAGCGCTGCGACAGCTCGGGAGCCACCATTTGTAAGGATGGTGCTGCCATCACGAATGAAACCACGGCCGAATGCTGCGATTTTGTCTCGGCTTTCCTTGGCACGTCGGATAAACAGTCGTCCATTTGTCAAGAGATGTGTGCGAATGGCCTTAAAATCACCTGCAGGGCCCAGTTGTCCAGGGCGTTGTAGTGTGGTAATTAGGTATCGTTGGAAAAGATCGGTTCCGGCAGAGAGACCGATGGGATTGGGAATGGATCGTTTCAGGTGCGCGGTTGATTTTTCGAGTAGATCCAAGGTCTCTGATATTGTGGAAGAGGCTGACTGTGTGAGAAGAAGGACGAGAGCTTCAATGGCTGCGATAGGCATTGTAAGGTCGGCATCGGAGCGGAGGAGTTCATTGTAGGTTGCGACAATGCTGAAGGAACGGTGAGCAGATGCGAGGGTTTCGAGGGAGCGCATCTACTTACTCGAATGATTTAGTATCGGCCACGGCCACATTTGAAGTGGTAGAAGCCATTTTGTTTGAGTGTCGAAGATACGAAAGTGAAAATAAAGCAATATAGAAGGAAGAGAAAGAGTCATGAATTCTATGTTTGCATAGTTTGCATGCTGAATGCCCCTCCAAGCACTAACCCCGATTAGGCGGTGTGCGGGATTGTCTCCAAGTAAACAATCAACTACGGACAACAACAATTGGCTTACCCACTTTAGCAATAAGCCCCTTGCCTGGTGACAGGCTCCCATAAACATCATGTCGCGTAACTCTACCGCGATGGGGTATAACAGCCGTATGAGCCAGCAATTCCAAGGCAACCAGCACCACGGTCGGGGTCGCAAGAAGGAGGACGAGAATGACGCCCTCATGCGTCTGGTGAGCTTGATTTTTCTCGGTGCTTGCGTCTAATTCTAATTAAAAAGCAGCCCGATAAAGAGATTGCAGGATGTATCAACGATATCGGTATACCGTTTACCCTCGCCGACCTGGCTAAACCAAACGCCCAGCAAATTCAGATGGTGTTCGAATGGTTCGCAGAACTGCTCATGAACACGACCCGGGAGACAGTGGAGCCGGCTATGCATGCAGCTGCAGAAGATCTATGCGGCGAATACCCTGATATAGTTCCCAATGACACGCGCAACCTCATGGGCTTTTTCGTGATGCTCCGAAAGCTATTGGCGGAAGTATCTGCTCACCACGGTCTACATGAATTCTGAAGGGCATACTAATGCTTCTTGTATTAAATAGTGCGGTGTCAACGACTTCACTTTCACAGACCTTACCAAACCGACACATGAGCGACTCGTCAAAATATTCTCCTACCTTATCAACTTTGTTCGATTCCGTGAATCGCAAACACCTGTGATTGACGAGCACTTCAACAAGACAGAGAAGACGAAATCACGCATTGAAGAACTTCTTGCGGAAAATCAGGAAATGGAATTAAGGCTGAGGGAGATGCGACAGGATCTCCAATCCAATGAAGCGCATGTGAAGGAGAAAGTTTCCCGAAATGATGCGCTCAAGGCGCGGCTATTGGAGTTGGGTCGAGAGCAGTCGCGAGTCGCAGAGACATTGGATCGAGTTAAGACGGAAAGAGCTCGGCGGCAGCAGCAGTTGGAAGAAAAAACCGAACGAACCGTCCGTTCTCGACAAGAAGCAGAAAAACTGCGGCCTTATGTGCTCGAGTCTCCGGCTACCCTCCATTCTTCATTGGCTGAACTTTCCGAGAATCTGATGCGCGAAAAAGCCTCTATTGATGCGATGGAGAGGCGGGCACGCGCATTGCAGACCTCATCCGATACGTTCACCGTGGTTTCCAACGATGTGCAGGGGTGTGTTAAACTGCTCGATGACATTGCAGCTGAAATGCAAAAAGAAGACGAAGAGGAGTCCCGTGCTGCTAGAACTACGGAAGCTATCTCGGAAAGGGGGAACAGCGTCCGCGAGGTCGAGCAGACTGAGAAGCTCCTTCAGCGTCAACTGGCCCGTTGGGTTGAGCGTATCGAGGCACTCCAAAAAAATGCACAGGAGAAAGCCGAATTTGCGCAGGCACGCATGGAAGAACTCCGCAATGTTCAAAAACAACTCCGAGAGGAACGTGCGGAGAAGCAACGCGATATGGAACGCAGACGTATTCGCATTGAACAGACAGAGAAGAAGGTGTGTTTCACCCTGCGTCGTATGGACAAATCATAGCTAACGCACTCTTTTAGATGGTCGACTTGAAGGAGAACATCGAGACTGAGATTCAGTCAGCCCACGACCAGTATCTAAAGCTGGAGTCACATATCAAGCTGTACATGACAGAGATGGAGAAGTCTCTATGATCAATCAGTTGTCATTAATGTGCAAAACAGGAGTTCAGCGGTCAGCTATAGGATACCCGGATAGTACCAATCCATTCTCAGGAGTTTAGTTATGTTACAACAATATCATGTCTGAGTTCAGCATTAAGGGTGTTCCAGTCTTTCCCAGTTCAATGGTTCTGGCCAAATTCAAACCAGCGTTCGGCAACACGTCTCACAGTGACGCCTCGTCCACCCCAGCTACTTTGGTCCGATCGCATTCGAACTGACCCGTTCAGTAAAGGAACGTTCGTATCCCACAGCTTGCTTCCCCTAACAGCACTTGAAGGGTCCAGGGCATTGATGCACTCATAGAGTCGGAGATCTGTCCCCGCCCTGGCGGAAGCCTCTACGGCAGAAGCAAGTGTTCTTGAAAGTCCCTGTGCCGAGAATTCCGAAGTGGTAACATGCAAAGCCATCATATCAAGGACTGCAAGGAGTTGCCGGTCATGGGGAAGCGATCCGGTCTCGGAAACCACCCCAACGGCAGGACCTAAGATGGCAAGGTATGCCCGAACACTCTCCAAACTCGAGCAGAATGCCAGCCGTATTTTGCTGGATCTTGCAAGCAGCCCGATAGTTTTTGTAAGCAGGCCATGGCTCGCGGCAGTGTCTGGACCAGCGCATTGTGAGCGAATGGCTGCTGTAAGTTGTACCAAGAACTCGGCTTTTGTTGCACAGACAATGAGATGGGTATCTGAATTGCCTTCAAGTAGTTGTTGCAGGAGATCAGATACCGAATCGCAGTGACCGATCGTGAATGTTAGACTCATTGCTTCAGATGGCTGTCTTGTAGCTCCCACTTATTGATCCTCCGAGGTCATCAACGGGAAGAGAATCATTTCGTCTTCAACTCATAATCCATCAACAACAAAAACACATGGTGGTCGTGGGTTTTTCGTCAGGTGATGTGCAAACAATAAAACAATGCAGATGTTGCAAATCGAAGGCGGGCGAAGAGATGCGGCATCACCCACTTCACTTCCGCGGAGCTGCTCCGCCTTTCCTCCCCTCACCTCTCACCCATTTCCTTCAACTTGCCCAAAGCTATTGGACTGGGCGCTCAGAAACTGGAAAGATGGAAACCATTTCCAGGATATCCTCGATGCTGGAAACAGGTACGTCGGGTTGAGTTGCAATCCGCTGTGTTTGGCCGAACTGACCGTGGAACGTCTATGTGCGCATAGCTCGAGAACTCACAATAGAAGCTGCCCAGTCCGCTGCTATTAATCGGACCTCAAGCACCGACTTTAATTCGCGAGCATACAGCCCAGCGCTCATCAAGAAGCTCCTTGACAGTCGCCATGAGCGGGAAGTCCTGGATGGAATGCGGAGGGTCATCTCAGTACGGAAACTGTGAGCAAGAACTATGGAAAATGCAATGGCTGACTCAATCTGTTATTCTAGTTGATGTACCGGTCGGAACCCTCTCTTACGTTCTTTTCGGCAGTTGTCAAGAATGTGGCCAGCGCCAACCTTGAAGTCAAGAAATTGGTTTACATCTACTTGGTCCATCATGCGGAGACGGAGCCGGATCTGGCACTACTGTCCATCAACGCAATCCAGAAATCGCTGACCGATTCAAGCCCACAGGTTCGAACAATGGCGCTTCGGACTATGTCTGGAATCCGGGTTCCGGTGATCAGCCAGATTGTGTCGCTGGCCATCAAGAGAGGATGCGGGGATATGAGTCCCCACGTGCGCAAAGCGGCCGCTTTGGCTATACCAAAATGTTATCGTTTGGATCCGAACACGCTACCACAATTGATGGGTTATCTTGAGACACTTTTGGGCGATTCTCAATATTTCGTCGTTGGGCCCGCAGTCGCGGCATTTCTGGATTTGTGTCCAGATGAGATTGACCTAATTCACAAAAACTATCGCAGCTTAGTTAAGAAGCTGGTTGATATGGATGAATGGGGCCAGCTAGCAACTTTGCGTCTGCTGACATTTTATGCGCGAAGATGTTTCCCTCAACGAACTCAGAAGGTTAAGCGCGCAGCCCCGGAGGCATTCTACGATGATGAAAAGCAACAACAAGAGACCCAGAATGATGCCCAAGAGTACGAAGTTCCGGTGCTGGATCCTGATCTTGAGCTTCTACTCCGAGCCTGCAAGGTTCTACTGCAGAGCCGAAACTCCGCCGTCATTGTCAGCGTTGCTCGTTGCTTCCTTTACCTTGCTCCATCGGAATACATTGCATCAGCGGTTGGTCCGCTTGTAGCTCTTTTACGAACCCCGCAGGACATGCAAATCATCGCTCTGTACAACATTGTTGCCGTTGCTCTAAGAGTTCCCAAGCCTTTCGCGAAATACACAGCCCATTTCCTTATCCACGCCAACGACCCACCGCATATCTGGCGTCTCAAACTAGAAGTGCTAACCATCCTGTTTCCGCATTGTGGAAAACACTGGAAGGGGGTCATAATCAGCGAACTAGAGCACTTCTCTAAAGGCGCAGATCCTGAGTTGGTACGGGAGTGTGTACGAGCAATTGGGCGTTGCGCGCAAGGGGACACAAGTGCCACAAGCATGTGCCTACGAATTCTTCTCGACCAAATTTCCAGTCCAGACGGCAACCTTGTGTCGGAGTCACTGACTGTCATTCGTCACTTGATCCAACAAGATCCATCCTCACACAAAAATACTGTTCTCCAGCTTGTCAAGCACCTAGGCTCAACAACACATCCAGACGCACGAGCAACTATTATCTGGTTGGTTGGCGAGTTCGCTGGAATTGAACCTGAGAACAACATAGCGCCTGATGTCCTCCGCATCTTGATCAAAGGCTTCGCAGATGAGAAGGAAATTGTCAAACAGCAGACTGTTCTCCTCGGTGCTAAGGTCTATCTACACCACCTCTTGCAGAATCCACCAAAGGAGCAGCCGGAACAGCTTGCATCGCAACCATTCCTCGAAGCCCCCGCTCAAGCCCAGCAAAAGTTCCACAACGAATGGACTGACAATGGGAACGATGAACCGCAAGATGCGGGGCGAAATGACGAGGGAAAGGAGAGTCGCCAAGAAAATGACGGTGCTGAAACAAGGGAAACAGAGGAAGCAACCGAAGACCGTATTACGTTATTATGGAGGTATCTCCTCCTTCTCGCACGCTATGACACTTCCTACGACCTACGTGACCGCGCACGTCTCTACAAGAGTCTCCTGGAAACCCCGTCTTCCACTCAACTTGCCAACCTCCTTCTCCTGGCACCAAAGCCAGTACCCCACGCCCCCAGTCCATCCGAGACGCGCAAGGACCTGCTCATTGGCTCCGCTACACTTGTCGTCGGCCCCGACGCTGGTTACCACGGGCTTCGAGGCTACACAAATCTCCCAGACTGGGTTGAGCCAGGCCATGAACCCGATCCCAGCCTCCGCACCGAAGATGTGAAACCAGACACATCCAACAACACCACCACCACCACCATGACTGCGGGTGACCGACTTGATAAAGCACTTCGTGAACACAAAACTACTTCTGTTCCAAGCCGGGCCCGGAATGGTCCGGCTACGTCTTTAGACCCGGCTGGGAAGAAGACTCTTGATCAGTGGCTACAGGAGGAAACCGAGACAGAGTCCGAAACGGATTCCGAGGAAGGCGAAACTGACTCGGAGGAAGAGGAGACAGACTCGGAAGAAGAATCTGGCTCGGAGGAAGAAAGCGACTCTGATGAAGAGACTGACTCTGAAACAGAAGCTGTTCATAAAGAGGCACAGCAGTTGCTTCGTTAACTTGTTCGAATAATGGTCACATGTGTAGATGCTGCCTTGATTGGCCAATTTTTGGGGCATCTGAAAATTTGAGAAATCAAATATCAACGATGTTTCTAGGGGTAACCTTGGTACATGACATAGCGACTTGGAGGATGGTTGAACATAGTTGGTCCCATGGTGCATCGTTGGGACAGCCGCTGGGAAACAGTTTCTATCAAACTTGGAGCATCATTCCTTCTATTTCACTCATCGGTCTCTTCCTTTTTAACATAGGGGTGTCCACTCAGTGACAGGCTCCTCCTTACCTCTGGTCGTCTATGCCAGCCAATATTCCATTAAAGGTTCCTCTAGGGCGGTCTCTCTCAGGATTTCCATGTAAGAAATCCCAAACATTGGCATAGGAGCATCACTAGCGACACTCAAATACATGAGCCATGACATACTTTCGGCGAACCTGGTGCTCAGCCATGGCATTGACGAGCGCAGCTTTAAGGCTGGTGCGGCCATCCCGGGAGTTTGGGCACGACCAGAGCACTGTGACCTCTAGCTAAGGTATTCTGTCAGTTGTCTTACATCAAACATGCAGCGCTAGCCAGTCTCCTGGATTCTGTCGAGAAACAGAGAGCTGAATTCTATATCATTTAGGTCCAGTGTCAGTGCAATCAGCCCAGCATCGACTAAGACTGGCCTGGACATGCAGGCCCCCACAGAATACCGGGGGCTAACGAGTTATCTCCATTGACCGACATGGCCCAGAGCCTGTGTCTCATACCCCAACTGTCATCTCTTACTCACTCTTTTTCTAGTACCATATTTCTGATTTTTAATTACAATCTTACTCCTTTTTATCTGTCGGATTTCTCTAGCGATGGACATCCGTCTGCTAACCAATAATCCAGCGAAATTGCAAGCAGCGTCCGCTCCAGGCATCAAGCTCGAGCGTGTCGATCATAGAAAGGCATATTTAACGACATTCAGGATTGGATTGCTGCCCAGACAGGTCGTGGATGATCAGCTTCAATCGATTTCGACAAAGCATCTTCTGTCAGAACCATGGGGGGGAGTCATCGCAGCCAAGCAGCAGTTAGTGAGCTTGATTGCCGAAAGACCCAATCGCGTCATGTTGTCTCTGGTCCATGTTGCTTTTTAACTGGTTGGATCGGCTAGCTCAGCCAACTCCAACGCGGGTGAAGAAACAAAAAAGAGTCTATTGAACTTAGCGCAGAACCAGTTGATATCAAAACGGCCAAGGTGGAACGTGGGTTCTATGTAAAGATCCGATCTCCCCGGACTCCCCGGACTGCCCGTTAAACTGTGAGATCTGTGCTTTCATTTATTTTTCCCTGCAGTGCCACCATGCTAACCTGATATATGTGGTTGCCTAGTCGAAGCTGGACTGTTTTAAAACGAACCCCCTCAAATAAATCTGCAAAGAACGTACTGCAAACATGGACATCTCCCAAATTATCAAACCCTGGAAGCTCAACCCTCAAAGAAACTTGGTCTTTGTAAATGCCACCATTGTTGACCCAGCTGAAGGCAAACTGATCCCGAATGCTACAGTCCGAATCTCAGAAGGCAGGATTTTTCAAATCGTCACCGAGGGCTCGACCATTGCCATAGATGACCTTTCCGAAGAACTTGTGATTGACCTGAGTGAAAAATACCTGTGCCCAGGCTTGATTGATTGCCATGTCCATGTCGCAGTAGTTCCCGGCGAAGCCAATCTACAAGCCTACAAGGAGATGAGCGAACGGGTCAGTCTCCTGCGGCAGCCACACGTACTCAAGTCCATGCTAGATCGCGGATTCACCTCAATCCGAGACTGTGGTGGCGCAAGCCTCGCGATTAAGGAAGCCGTTGAGGATGATGTAATCCCAGGACCCCGTCTCTTCATCGCTGGACACGCACTCTCCCAAACCGGTGGACACGGTGACTTGCGCGGATCCCACGACTCCCAACTCTTCTGCGGCGGCTCCATTTCCGGAATCAGCAGGATTGTCGACGGCCCAGCAGAGTGCTACAGGTATGCTCGTGAGGAGCTGCGCCAAGGAGCAGACTTTATCAAGATCATGGGTGGCGGCGGTGTTGCCAGCCCCACAGACCGCATAGAACATGTTCAGTTCTCGGATGAGGAGATCAGGGCTTTTGTCACCGTTGCGCGGAACGCGAGCACATATGTCACGAGTCATAGCTACACGCCGCGGGCAATTCAGCAGGCTATCAAGCTCGGGGTGCGCGGTATCGAGCATGGAAATCTTCTTGATTTCGAAACGGCGGAGATGATGGCGGAGATGGATGTTTTCTTAACTCCGACGCTCATTACGCATGTCATGTCTAAGCAGATGAGTTTCTTGTCTGCTGATGGCGCTACTAAGAACGAGGAGGTTCTTGACAAGGGATTGAAGTCGATGAAGATGGCTGTTGATGCGGGTGTGACCGTCTGCTTTGGGACTGATCTTCTTGGTCCGATGCATTTTGCTCAGAGCAAGGAGTTCTCGGTGCGCAGTTCAGTTTTGACTCCATTGCAGATTCTGCGCAGTGCTACTGTCAATGCCGCTCGGCTTGTTATGCAGGAAAATAGGTTGGGTCAGATTCATGAGGGATTTGCGGCAGATATATTGATCTTGAAGGGGAATCCGTTGGAAGATATCACCATTCTGGATCGAGTGGAGGAGAATATTCTGGCTGTGATCAAGGATGGGAGGGTTGTCACTTCACGCTGGGACAAAGTCAAAATAGATCTTTGAGGCTTTCAGGAATGCAATCTCAGTGAAATCAATCAGATGGAAGACCTGTATAGACTATGGTTTGGTGAAAGGCTAATCCCATTCGGGGATCGGAGCGGGGCGCTTCCCGAGCTCCGCCCAAAAACTCTAAAAGCGTTGGTTTGTGGACGGGAGAAGATGATCATTTTAGAGACACTCACCATAAGATGTACCTCCCTTGATCTCTCCACTTGGACAGAGAGCAAGCTGGGACCATCATGAGTTACGGCAGCACGTTTATTAGTTGGAATCATCTCACTCTGATCTGGTCTCCGTGTGTTTCTGGCAGGTGGTGTCAAATTTCGACATCTAAGCGATTGCTAACATGACATTGATGTTTGCCACAAGGTTTGAGCTGGCTATTAGCCTTATGTCTTAGTACCAGGGGCATAAAAATCTCTAGTTGGCGTATGGATTCAGTAAAGGAACAACTTCCTCCTTTGAAGGGAGCCAATGATATATCGGCAATCCATGGTTATTGACGGAAATAGGGTGCTCTTGCGAAGGATTCCAGCTCTGAGTTATTAAATTGCGGAGCTAAGACGTTCATCAACCTAGCGAATTTCTGTCCAAGGGGGCTGAGAAAGGTATCATGCCGTCATAGTTAGTTAACTAACTAGTTAGTTAGTTAGTTAGTTAGCCAGTTGGCAAACGCAACCTGAGAATTCAGGCGTCGAGGAACAAAGGCGGTGTGGATTTAACCGCGCTCGTGCCTGAGCTCATCCCGCAGTTCGGCCCTGATGTCGTCTCGATCTTTAATTCCAGAGCCTTCCCTCCACACTGGAAACGAGGATCGGCTGCACTCAGGATGCCAGCTGCTAGATTGACGCACCCATCTCTTATATTGTCGTCTTTTTAACCTTCCCTCTCGATCTCATCCTCCGTTCTCTCGAATACTACTTTCCTTAAGCTCTCTGCACTCGTCTGCCTTGACACAGAAACCAAGTACAGGGAGCTCTCCATCATTTAATAAGAAAAACCATCCCCAGAAAGAGTCATTGTGGCTAGTTCGTCTTGAAGTCACTGTATCTGCATCTCGCTACAATGCCTGGTCTACCGAGTAGGTACATGGTTTTTTTTAAATATTCCAGGACATGTTTATCTCCGTGGTAATGCTAACCTGTCACTTCATAGCGAATATCGATCTCGATGAGTGTATCACTCGGCTCTACCGAAAAGAGCTGCTCGCGGATTCGGTGATCGAGGCGATCTGCCTCAAGGCGAAGGAACTTTTGATGAAGGAAAGCAATGTGGTACATATTGCTGCTCCGGTCACTGTGGTTGGTGATATCCACGGCCAATTTTTTGATATGATCGAGATCTTCAGGATCGGTGGCTTCTGTCCGGATACAAATTACCTATTCCTTGGTTGGTCACACTCGGAGAATGCTTTGATCAGGGAGGAAAGCAGGGCTCGGGCTTGGACATTTTGCTGCCCACTTATGTCGTGAAGTGTTGCTGATAAGAAAACTGACAGGCGATTATGTCGACCGCGGCCTGTTTAGTGTAGAGACCATCTCACTGCTGGTGTGTCTCAAGCTAAGATACCCTTCACGAGTGCATCTCATCCGCGGAAACCACGAGTCGCGTGGAGTCACTCAATCTTACGGCTTTTACACCGAGTGTGCTCGAAAATACGGCAACGCCAATGTCTGGCACTACTTCACCGACATGTTTGACTTTTTGACACTGAGTGTTGTGATTAATGATGAGATATTCTGTGTACATGGCGGCTTGTCACCTTCCATCCACTCAATTGACCAGATCAAAATTATTGATCGTTTCCGCGAGATCCCACACGAAGGCCCCATGGCCGATCTGGTCTGGTCCGACCCCGATACAGAACGCGATGAATTCTCTCTTTCACCCCGTGGTGCTGGATACACTTTTGGAGCACAGGTTGTGCGGAAGTTCCTAGAGGTGAACAGCATGTCCCACATTCTGCGTGCACACCAACTCTGTCAAGAAGGCTACCAGGTCCTTTACGACGATCGCCTGAGCACAGTCTGGAGTGCACCCAACTACTGCTACCGCTGTGGAAACTTGGCTAGTGTGCTCGAAGTGAGCGACACTGGCGAGCGCTTTTTCAATATTTTTGACGCTGCACCTGAGAATGACGCACACCGCCTTGAACAGCTGGGCCAGCAGCAGCAGATCAAGGATGGCTCTGGCCCAATGGTTGACTACTTCTTGTGAATCTTTGAATCTCCTCATGATACCCATTGGTTACTGTTAATGTTTTGTTTGATTCTAATGTTTATTTGTTTCAATTTCGTGGTTTTTTTTTCCTTCCCCCCCCCCCGCCCGGCACTAGACAGGAGTTCGGGATATAGCTGTGCATTCACCAACAGCTATCACTAACAGCTAGATGTGCTACTTGGCATCTGAAATGAAAATACCATACACCAATAATTGAGACTAAGTATGACACATAAACAATAAAACCGGGGTCCAATGCATCGGCCCAGTGGGACGTATCTCTAACAGTTTTGTCAAAGAAAGAAACTCATCACGCTTTGAAAACAAACGGCCGCTCAACAACTTTACGAGATAGTGCTCTCAACTCAAGTTTACCAGTCCTTGGAAATGTCAAAGGACCACTCGAACAGCAGATGAGTGTGCTGGTCATCGTCAATGAACTTCGAAACGGCGTTGTAGTGGCCACGGGCGATCATGCCAGACGGTGCCTCCTCCTCATTGACTAGGGAGATAGTGTTAGTGAATGCCAGAGTCAAAAATCAAGAGATGGAAGCCAGGTTTGAACACTCACATTCCTTGGAGTAATCAACCTTGGAGGTAGTGTTGGGCGCGTAGCTGCCCAACATCTCCTCGTCCTTGCTGACCCGGATCCCCTTCCGCTTGACAACCTGCAGGTACTTGAGGCCACTCAGGACTTCATGGTGGACTTGGAAGGTAACCTTGATGTGGAACTTGGAGCCCTCCTTGATCGTGAAAGGCTTATCCTTAAGGCTGTCAACTGAGCCCGGGGAGGACAGATCGATAACAACATCCTCACGCCCGTCAACCTGCAGAGCCAAGGATTTGATGATACACTTGCGAGGGTCGTTGGGATCAGCAATAGGATCACCGGAGTTGAGACCCAAGGAAGCCTTCCAGCGGTTCAGAGCTTCATCGTCCTTGTCTATTGCGGGGGAGAGGAAGACGGTTAGCTGGAAAAATACCGAAGGCTAGATGTGGCGAAGCCATTATAACTGAACGAACATACCGAGCTGGTTGTACTCGTCAAGAGTCTTCTTCTCTCCCACCTTGAAACCCTCAGTAGCGGTGGAGGCGAGCTCGTCGTCGTGCTGGTCGGCCATTGTTTACAGATTTAGAAGGCGGGGGGGGGGGGGGGACACAGAACCAAGGATTGGGGTTCGGGGAAGTGATGTCGAGAAAAGAGGGGGGAATTGGACAATGAGGAAAAGGGAGAAACAAATTCGAAACTTCCAATGATAAAGGAATTAAAAAAGGGCTAAAGCTCGAAGCGTCTCCTGAGACCTTGGTGGGGGTGGAAAGGCGGTGGGAGAGGGGCGAGGCTATTCGGATTCCCACTTCTGTATGCACGTATACCCACCGTTGACCCTGCACGGTTATATTGACCAGGTGTTTAAATTGCCTACGTTGTATGTGCCAAGGTTTGCTTTCTAGCAATGCGTACATTGTAGATGGAGAGGGTTGGAATGACTCTCTACACTTGTATGCAAACCCCAACTATGCCCCATTTCGGGGTGTGGGGGGCTGACGATCATGCAACTAGACGTGCGTAGTTGCTCACGTCGAATATATAGATACAGGGTAAATTCTAGGATTAACTCCAAGGTTGGAGGGTTTAACCAGGAAAGAGCATCTTTCATGTCCCTCGTGTTGTGAGAGATGTATATTTTTCGTCGAAACTTCGACGACAACATACACACCTATATGTACTCCGTGGGAAACATGGGGAAGGATTTCTATCATTACTAGTAGTTGAAGTAAAAGCATTTGAAAGCTATGTAATCCTTTGTATATAACAACCAGTTTCCAGAAACGTGTTAAAAAGTAGACGACACTCTATGTCGCTGTGGAGAAAGACGAAGATCAAGTCCAAAGGAGGAAAGTGTTGGCTCGGAATGCCAAGGTCACGGGGCCAACAAATAGAATACATTGGGGGTACATCAAATACGTTGTATCAAAGCAATTGACCAACCATAGCTGCAAATTACCACACATGACCTTCCATTTACCGGACCTTACCGGAACAAGTCAAGCTTCAGAACGACGCAACGATTATTCGCGACTCGCATCTTCTTCATCTCTCCTGATTGTCTTTATCTTGGGTCTTTTCTTTTTTTCCCTCTCTTATCAATCGTAATTTTTTGGTTGCGCACTTCCTTTTTTTTGCCAAGATACAACATTTATCAGTGGCAATATTTGATTCTTTGAAATTTTGTCGCCTTGACGCGCCTGCTACGTGGCCAACGCTGGCGCATCTTTCCCTCAAGTCATCCGCAAGTCATCCAGCAAGATCTTCATTTCCACTTCACTCGAAATCCGCCCACCATGTCGCGAACACTCCCGAAACAGTTTAATCCGCTCATCACGATCGAGGTTGCTCCCACCTGTAAGTTCAAACACTGGCGCGTGGTGGCGCGACCGCGCGCATCGGTTCATCTACCCGCCTCGTGCTCCCTCAATGCCTCGAGGTCATCGCTAACGATTCCGTGTTACACCTGGTCACAGATGACGAGCTTCTTGCCCGCCGTCGTCTTGGGCAGACCAACCTCTCTGTCAAGCCTGCCCAGATTGGCACCTCAAACGCAACCAAGCCCGAGAACCTGGGTGTATTCGAGTATGCTCACCTCCGTGCTCCGCTGCCTAAGGATCTTGAGGGCTCTGAGATCTTTCCTTCCCACACCTCCCAACAACATCCTGAAAGTTACTTCTTGATGGTGAGACTTCCCGCTTAATCCAATCTAGACGCCAACCGTCACTAACTTTGGGCCTCATCGTCACAGCGCCGTAGTAAAGATGGCTTTGTTAGCGCGACTGGAATGTTCAAAATTGCTTTTCCATGGGCCAAGGCCGAGGAAGAGAGAACAGAGCGCGAGTATCTGAAGGCTCGCGAGCATACCAGCGAGGAGGAAGTTGCCGGTAATGTGTGGATCTCACCCACATTCGGTGTGTTTTGCCCAGGATCTTCTCTCTACTAAACAAATCCTGACTTAATGCCTAGCTCTTGAGCTCTCCAAGGAATATCAAATGTATGATTGGGTGCGAGCACTGTTGGACCCAACCGACATTGTTCAAAGTCCTTCCAGCGCGAAGAAGCACATCACTCCCCCGCCGAAATTCGAAATCCCCTCCGATGAGCCCCACATGTCGCAGCGCAATCGCAGAGGTCGGTCCGCTTCTCCAAGCAAGAAGTTGTTCTCTCCTCGAAAGCCCCGCAGCACCCGCAGCACCAAGGATGTTGCTAGCACTCCGTCCACAACAGCTGCAAACGCTAGCCTTCAGTCGGCATTAGACACAGCTTCAGCCCTCCCGGACACGATTCTTGAGTTGCGAGCTGTGGATGGCGAAATGGGGGTAGCGTCAAGCGGATCTCCTGCAAAGCATATCAGAGTGCGCAGGGCCACGAGATCTGCTACCGCGGAGCCCGAAGAGGAAGCGAAGGAAAAGAAGAAGGAAAAGAAGAAGTCCGAGAAGAAAGAGAAAAAGATAGAGGATATCAAGGAACAGGAGGAGGTTGTCGGGGTATTAGTGGCCGATGATGCCATTGAGGCTGTCAAGTCCACTCACACCACCATTTCCCTAGATATGCCTATCCGTCTTCCAGAAGTGCCCTCTGCCGCGGAGACCGAAGAAATGATTGCTCAGGCCAAGGAGATGGTGGAAGAGGCAATCAAGGCGCAGGCCGAAGGCGCTACTGCCGAGTCGACATCTGTTACGACGACCATCAAGCGCAAGGCCGAGGATGACGACGATGACGAAGATACATCGGCCGAATCTTCTCAACGAGCCAAGAAAGCCAAGGTGCTCGAGAACAAGCTCAAGCAGGAGCGTGTCCGTAACCGCTCTATCTTCGGTGTCTCTGTGGCCTTCGCCCTTGCGTAAGTCATTCTATGCTATGAATATCCCAAGCAAACGCTAACATCACAATTAGGGCCTCCATCCCATACTTTTTCTAAACAGAATGAGATTTTGTTTAAAAAATGTCCAGTCTGTTGGAAATTTTGGTCTCTTCTTTTCGGCATGTTTGTCGCTTGCGACAACCCAGCTACCCAAATATTCGCTTCTGATGCCCAATTCCCCTTGTCGTTATCATAAATATATTCCTCGCCGGCGATCCTGAGTGCCCTGTGCCTGTCATTGACACCATTTCCTAATATCTTGCCCTCATCCCCTTCCTCTTCCCGTGCTTCGCACCAGACTTGGTTATTTGGATTGCCTATCTCGTTCTATCCCCCTTACCATTGCTCTCCCCATGCCAACTTCCTCCCTCTCCCGCCTTCTACCGCCCGACGGCAGCCTTCCAAGTAGTCAAGGACGATTCGCTCAATGACAGTGATATGCTTCGATGTTATCAGTTTGTGTCTTTTTGTAGGGCTATGACTTCTGTATTTATTCCATCCGATTTTGGCACAGCTGGGGTTAAAAACTTTTCAAGGTTCTACAGTTTTTGCTGCTTTGCTACTCTGACCCAAGGCCACTCAAGCATCAAAGGTTGTATTCCATAAGATGTAGGACTAGTTAGTGCAGCATGACATTGTGAATGTTACAACTACGATAATTCTCCCTCAGATGCGCATTGACTTGAGCACATGTGACAAGGTCTGTCGTTAAAGTCCAACGGGCCAATGACGGCCAAGTAACGGCAATGCAAACATGCAAAACCTCTATGCTGAAGCTCCGCACCCCGATAACAATTCCAATACGTTCACTCCATTCAACCTTTGCACATAACTCGAGGCTTCTCTATCTGACCGGTAACATGTCGCTCCCGGGTCTCGAGCTAACACAGCCATCGGAAGAAAGATCGCAGGCACCGGCGCCACCATCGCAGATCAACCTGACCCCAGGCTCGGAGTGGCGGTTTGAGGTTGCGTTTGGACATGTTATCAAAGTTAAGGTACGTTATATTCTTGAATATGATTGGGACCCTTCTGATTCAAGTTGTGAAGCTTCTCAATGGTACCGCCGAACTCTTCGGAACAGAGCTTGCCGAATCCCAAACCTACACATTCACCGGCACAAAAGCGGCAATCTTCACATGGCATGGCTGTACACTCGAAGTCAGCGCAGCGGAGACAGTATCAAATCCCTCTGATGGAGTAACACCGACAGTGGGACACGGCGCAGGAGGCTGCCAAAGCGAATACACGGCCGAGGAAACCCCAATGGTGGAATATGCCAACGTCCACTTTGCGCTGGAGACAATGCGCGAAGAAGCTCAATCAATAGGCAAGGATGGCCCGCGAGTGCTTCTTCTCGGCTCTGAAAACACCGGAAAGACCAGTTTGGCTAAAATCCTAACTGCCTATGCGACGAAGATCGGCCGTCAGCCGTTGGTCGTGAACCTCGACCCTACCGAGGGTATGCTGGGTGTCCCTGGTACACTGACTGCGACTGCCTTCCGCACCATCTTAGACGTTGAAGATGGTTGGGGAAGTAGTCCCATGTCCGGGCCCAGTCCCGTACCGGTCAAGCTGCCGCTTGTGTACAGTTACCCGATGCAAAGCCCGCTGGATGGCGAAGGCGCCGTGTACCGACCAGTCGTTTCGCGTCTTGCGCTATCCGTCACGGGCCGGATGGCCGAAGACGAGGATGCCCGTGAAACGGGAATCATCGTTGATACGCCCGGAATCCTTGGCACAGACAAGCCGGGCACCATGGACCTCATCAACCACATTGTCACGGAGTTCTCGATCACCACGATCCTGGTTCTGGGTTCGGAGCGCCTGTACAGCACCGTTGCCAGACAATACGACAACAAGCCCACTTCCAGCGCAACAGCCACTGTCTTCGACGAGCACATCTCCGTCGTCAAGCTCTCTAAATCGGGTGGTTGTGCTGACCGTGACGAGGCCTTCCGCAAGGCAACGCGGGAGTCCCAAATCCGTTCCTACTTCTTCGGAAACCCCATCCCCTCTTCCTCGCCCTCTTCCGCCATCACACTTTCTCCTCATGCACAGCAGCTTGACTTCGCCTCCCTTCCCGTATACAACTACACCGTCTCCTCCGCAGATGACGAAGACGAAGACGAATATGACCCTTCCCAGCTGGGAACAGGCGATTCCTTCCTCCCCGGTGGTGGCGGCATGGATGACTACACCCCACAAGAAACAAAGCCAGACCTAGACCGCGCCGCCCCCCTTCCTGGTGTCGTAGGTTCATTCTCCGAATCCGCCGACCATGCGAATTTCAACGTCAACGGCAGCGTTCCTCTGAAGAAGGTCCTTCCACCTGCTCCCTCTGCTCTGGCAAATACCCTCCTTGCCATCACTCATGCCCCTGCGACGGCATCCCCCACCGAAGTCCGTGACGCCAGCATCATGGGCTTCTTGTATGTTGCCGACGTCGACGCGGACAAGGGCAAGATCCGTGTGCTTGCGCCTGTTGGTGGGAGAATGCCCCCACGCGCTATTATATGGGCGAAGCGTTGGCCTGGTGAGTTGGTGGGGTTGGTGGGTTAGAGATTTTCTTTGCATTGCATTAGACATTGGCAACTATTCTTCGGATATGGAGTTGGGGATTTTAGATTTCACTTAGCATGGGGTTGTGGCTCGTTATTACATACAATCAATCATTCTATGGGCGTCCATTCACTGTGCATGTAGATTTTCATCTTGCTTGCTGTTTCTCCAAACTATCTCCGCATCTGGCGACATTATTTTTAATGCACATCCTCATTGATAGTATGCGTTGAGCTTTCTTTTTAACAGAGGCAGATTATGTTTTATATATACAGAAATAGCCATTTAAAACGTAGGAATAAGTTTCGCAAAATAGTCTATACCAAGGACATGGGCGAGGCCGCCTGCTGGCAGAAGCAGAACCTTGAGAAGCCTCTGGTCTAAGTAGGATAGTTAGCTTCAGGTGACAAGTTGAACTCATCGATCTACTTGTCAACATGAGTTACATCTTACCAGGGGCGAACCCTCCTTGTGTCAGCTGCGCATTTCTCTTGTTGGCTGATAAGCCTGTTCAATGAAACCTAGGTCTCAAGAAGGATTCAAAAGAGTCTTAGGAGGGCACGATGGAGCGATAGTAGAAGGGCACAATGACGTACTTAAAGACAGCTCAGATTGTGACCGGGTCGTGATAGGAGGTCAGTTGAGCAAGTGAATCATGCCACTGAACCACAAGGTATGCTGGTTCTGCTGCTGGATCTGGATCATAGATGAGGGTCCCTCTGAACGATTTGGGGAATGAGTTGGTGATACGTAGTGTCTTTTAAAGTCAGAAACTATGTGTAGAGCGTCCTGCTGACCTTCTTTAAGACGTTCCACCATGATATAAACCGCTGTATAGATCGGGATTTCAGATGGAGAGTGATGGTAACTGAATGGCCAAAGGCGAGAAATTTGGTTCGACAGAGGAAGATGGCACAGAACAATGAAACGCATACCACTGGAGCTGTGAGCAGTGGTCAACAATACCTGTTGCTTTGCTCTTTCACAGAAATGTGCAAAGTTTTCCTCATATGGAAACCCAGGCACATTGAACGTCACCATGCAAACGATGTGAAAAAGCGGAGATTGTATCATCGCCCACATGATGCCTTTTGGCCCAATTGCATTGGTTCTGTTATGACTGCATCGGTTGATATGAATTCTCTGACTATCGGTCTACTTGCCTCTAGAATGCCAGGAAAGTATCCTCTCTTCCAGGCTCTTGACAGGCCTCAACCCAGCCACCCAGTAAGTCCGCCAATAATGTAGCAATGTAGTTGATGAAGTCACACAGGAAGGAATCGGATGTTGTCTTATAGGCCAGACTGAAGAGATGTGAGCGGGTAGATTAGCAAGTACACACCCATAGAATTGTCAAGGAATCTTCTTCTCTTCACAAAGAAAGTATAGGGTCCAGAGGATAGAGGCGTCCCGTGGCATCCGTCGGATTTCGACGGTGATTCGATGTGCGGGATTGTCAATTGCCTCTCCTCTTCCATCCAGTTTGGCCGACTAGAACAAACTCCGAGTTAATCGAATGAAGCCTGGATAGGCTATTAGGCTTGTCATGCCATTTGTGAAGACAATGTTGTTAGGTGAGAGTTGTGCAGTCAATGCTTGAAGATACCTGATGTTGGCCCTTGTCTTCGCTGACTTGTTTTCTGTGCTCCTTGTGATGAGTAGTGGATAGTCTAGGGCTTCATCTTCGTGCGGATGAGTCTGAGTAGGTATGAGGGACAGTAATAGGGCGATGATCTACCTCAGTACACTCCTATATGCACCATGCTATACGGCTATGCTATTTGAGACTAGTACAAAACAAAACTCCCTCCAATAGTGCTACACCCCAATGCTCCCCAGTATACATGTATCGACAGACAGAAATCAACAAATGCGAAAAAAACAGGAGAATCATCAACAACAATTCTTCACTCCCACCTTCTCCATTCACCAACAGCCTTCCTCATCTCCTCATCACAATTATACCCCTTCGACTGAGCAATCAATAGCTCCTCCCTCCGATCAAGAAACCGCCTCTCAGCCTCAGCCCTCCTCTGCGCAACAGACCGCAACAACTCCAAATCATCCCGCACAACTGCTTCCCGGAACTTCGCCCGCATGCGCGGCGAGTAAAGCTGACAGCTCGCCTCACGGGTCCGACCAGGCCCATCACCAGGCAAGATCCGCAATTTCGTCGTGACCATGCATGCAATAGGATGATTCGATCTTGCCAGAGGCCAGACAACCTCATCGTAGCAGTCTTCGCAGACACACATCTCTGGCAGCGATGGGATAAAGTGCCACGTACCAAGAGCAGGCCTATCACGACGACAATCACGCAGCATGACCTTGCGCCGCGCGTAGGTGAGAAACTCACGCGTATCCGGACGGCGAGTACATGAGGAGTCAGATTCAGCACAGGAGGCAGATGCATCGAGGAGATCGATGAATTTCACGAACCGCGGACTGGATGTGACGAAATCGCAGACACGCTCCGTGGGCTCTGAGCTCGGTTGGAAAGTTTCACGGTGACAGGGCATGAGGATGCGGATATTGCGCGCGCAACTACTGCAGACGTGGAAGCCCGAGAGGTCGCTGCCGGTTTTGGGGTCGTAGATGCGGTGCCAGTATTGTTCAGCGACGATGCGGCCTGAACAGGGGCGTGTGCCGGGAGGTGGGCGTGTCATTTGGTACAGGAGCTCTAGGCTGTCGTGTTGCTTTTTAATCATCTGGGTCCATGCGAGACGGGTCCATGCGTTGGCGAAGGCGCATCGTGTCTTTTGCCCGGCTGGTTTTGAGAGGCTTGGGATGAAGTAGTCGCAATAGCGGGAGTGCGCGATTTGACTCATGCAGGATGGGCAGATGTCCAGGTGGGTGAGGCCTTTGAGCGTATACCAGTCTTGGTAGCCTGCTACGGCGATGGTTCGTGGGCATGGAGAGAGGCCCAGACCGACTGAGTCGGGGCGCTGTGGTGATGTGCCTGAGGGCCTAGGAGGTGCGGGGTGAGCCAATGACCCGTCGGGGTTGAGTTGAGTTGCAATTTGAGTTGATGTAGACTTGGTAACCTCAGACGATGGTCGTGAGGAATAGCGAGATGCAGACATCGACCGCGTGGGGGGCACTGTTACTGATGTCGCGCGGGCACGCGAGGCAGGGGGCACTTCCTGCTGTGTTCGCTGGGCAGGGACAGGCTGAGGCGCACGCGAAGGGGGGTGTGATACCGAAGCAGAGGCAGGATCAGGAGGTGGAGGTGGAGGTGGCAGAGAGGTGTTGAGAGGACTCGGTTTAACAGGCTTCGCAGTTGTGGGCATTCGCTGTGCCTTCGGGGCCGACAGAGTCCCCAGGTCCCGCTGCTCTTGTCGTTGGCGAAGTTTCTCCTCAATTCGTTCTGCGATGGTGGGCCCATTTGGCAGAGCTGATCTAGGGGCTGTGGAAACAGGCACCTGGGGCTGATTTGAGGGTGATCTGTTGCATGTGGTGGCCATGGTCGAATCGGACAAGTATCCCGAGCTAGGCTCGCGTCGAAAACATTCTTTCATTTGTCGTGTTGTTGAAGGGACTTGTCTAACACTGTTCGATCGATCAATGGATGTCTTGACTGGCTGTACATAGTCCTTGTCATGCATGGGAGCTTGATCACCACTGCGATCCGGCGCAATCGGTCCACGGGAGCCAGACTTTTTTTGAGTTGGTGGCATGTGTCTGCTAGAGTTGCCATTCCAGTGATGAGATGGTGGTTGGGGCTCCCGCTGTGTATTAAGATCTCGGGTGGGCTGTTGTTGAGCGAGGGGCCGAGATGGTGGGCCGCGTGGTTGGCTTGCAATTGAGGGCAGCGTACGTTTTGGCGTTTCATCCGTCGCAAACCTGACGGTATTCCGGAAGGTCGGCTCTTGAGGAGGTGGTGTCATTGGCCCTGAACTTTCATCCGAAGATGCACTCCCGAGTTCAGGCACACTGGGAACACTGGCGGGGGAGGTAGACAGTGGAGGGGGCGAGCTGGCGTAGACTATGATGGGATACTGATTGACAGCCCCTCTTGTATGAACACCGTCAACCCCCGGTTTATCTCCGAGCTTGGAGAGACCGTTTAGCTCCTTTGAGAGAGACTGGGGCTCTTCCTCAACGCAGGGCGCTGGAGGCCATTGCGATTGCGCTCGTCGAGAGCTTCCAGAGGGGGCCATTTCTAGAAAAATTTGTTGGGCCACACAAATAGTATGGAATGTGCTCGTTTTAGAGCGTTAACCTGGCGCTTTGACGTCTCGTGGAATAGCTCGGGAAATTTGGTTCATAGTATAAATAGTCGGACTTGAAGAGTGAAAACTTGCACGGGGGCAGAAAAAGCTGGCGTGTATGAAAGAGAGAAAAATAATTTCCATGAAAGTAGACAAAGATGCTCGCTTTAAAGTACGTGTGCAAACCGTGTGAACAAGGGCACATAGGCGTTGGTAGATGGCATCGGGCACCACCCCGAGAGAATCGGCCTCTGATAGGCCATTCTAGTGATTGGGCAAGAGCAAAAATACCAATAAGAATAGCTTCAGGCTGAAGGCAAACCACAAAGCAAGGATGGCAGGTGGAAGCCGTGAAACAACTGATCGAGTCACCGTCATCACAAAGGGGCGTGGCTATGGCAGCCCGTGGACTGTTGGGCACGAAGTGGAACCCCGGGTACTGCCGTTGCGTTTCAAATCGATTTGTGTAGAATGAGATCAGTCCACTGGATCACATTGGGCAACAAATCAGAGTCCTCAACTTTCTCAGGGGCTGATAATTAGGAAACTTTGAGAGACCGATCAGAGGACAGCGACCTGCATGATATCTAAAGTGTTTGGATGGGGAGATTTATTCTCTTCCAGAGTTTCATAATGCAGGCTGCGGCAGATGATCTAAAGCCGGCACTAAGTCGTTCTTATGCAGAGCCAGGGCCAATTCACAAATCCCGTCGTGGGTCGTGGGGGATTGGCCCCTCTTGGGGCTCCGGATGGCTTGCATGTTGTTTTTTCGTACGGAGAAAACGCCGATACTGCGGCCGATCTGACCAGAGGCTCTGTGTGAGTGCCATAAGTCTCTGGTCAGAGAGGAGTGTGGCATTGTATCTTTTGGATATCTCTTGTTTCAAATTGAAATAGTTGGTTGCAGTGCTGTGTTGCACGGCATAAACAAGTATGTCCTTCCGACGGATAAGGGTGACCCGACGGAAAAGGCGTCAGATACCCGTAAAAGGCCTCTCGGGATGTCAATGTTGGATTTGGGGAAACTGTATGAAGCACATTGTCAAGTCCAAAAATGCTGCCAGGTGTACCACACATAATCACTAGAGTTGGCATTCGTTGATTTGTAAAATCTAAAAGGAAAGAGAGCGCAACAATTCCGCTGGAGATCTCAAGGTTGCGGGGATCCGATGACAAATGTGAAGCCGATGGCGCTCATGGCTCCCATACTTCCCCCCCCCCCCCACCTACTTATTTATCATGTTTCGCTCTCTTCTACGTAGTAGTCTTCGTTTCATAGGACTTCGCAATCACATTGTCCCTCCATCAGTGAACCAATTCATTCCAATCCGCAACATGTCTATCCCAACAACCATGAAGGCTGTAGTGGTCGAGCAGACCGGCGGTCCTGAAGTGCTGCAATACAAGACCTCATACCCAGTTCCTACACCACAAGCAGGACAGCTGCTAGTGCGCAACAACATTTCCGGCGTTAACTATATCGACACCTACTTCCGGACGGGCCTATACCCCGCGCCCAAGCCCGAGATCTTAGGCCGCGAGGGCGCTGGTGTTGTCGCTGCTGTCGGTCCCGGGACTTCTGGATTTCAGGTCGGTGATCGGGTTGCATGGTTGTCTACTGGTGGGTATGCCGAGTACACTGCAGTACCAGTGGCCCTGACTGCTAAGATCCCCGAGGGAATCAGTGATGAGGATATCATGGCGTCGTTCCTGAGCGGTTTGACAGTGCTTTCTTTCGTAAAGGAGACTTACCCTGTGCAGAAGGGCGATTGGGTTCTTCTTCATGCTGCGGCTGGTGGTGCTGGCTTCCTTATGACGCAGATTTTGAAGATTTTGGGTGCCAAGGTCATTGGTACTGCTGGCGGCCCAGAGAAGTGTGCGCTTGTGAAGAGCCTCGGTGCCGATGTGGTGATTGATTATCGCAGTGTGGAAGATAAGAACTGGGTCAGAAAGGTGAAGGAAGCTACTGGTGGTCGTGGTGTCGATGTTGTCTACGATTCTGTCGGCAAAGATACCTGGGAGGGAAGCTTGGAGGCTGTCAAGCGTAAGGGTACTATCGTCTGGTTTGGCAATGCTAGCGGACCTGTGCCCCCGCTTCCTCTTGCGTATGGTCTTTCCTTCTCTATGTTGGGGTTGGCTAGTAATGCTAATGGTCTTTCAATAGGAAACTTACCCCCAAGTGTGTCAAAATTGCTCGCCCGTCACTCTTCGGGTACATTCAGACTCGCGAAGAGTTCGAATCCTACACCAATGAGCTGTTCAGCCTACTGAAATCGGGCCAGCTCAAGACTAAAATCCACAAAATCTATCCCCTGGAGGACATTGCTCAGGTTCACAAGGTATGTAGACTCTGTATATCTTTGCGGGAAATTCTAGTCAAGGTAGATTCTAACGCGGTCGACAGGATCTGGAAGGCCGGAAGACCATGGGAAAGCCACTGCTCAGACCTTAAATCAGGGCCTGGCTTTTCTGAGAATACAAACAGATTGCGATCTATTAATAACACAAGTCTACGATGCAAGTGTGTAAATATTTCCAAGATATCCATGTGAATATCAGGTTCTCCATTTGGCTAAGATAATGTTTTGAAAACAACCCGGTTGATTTGAAGCAGACTGATCACGTAGTAAACCGATAGCTGCACCATGCGACCTTTCAATCACTGGTCGTCTCCCTCTAGTTCACCCTTGATATCCTCGTTCTTCTAAATTCCTTGCTCCTTTGAGCGAGTCTGGATTCCTTGGCCGTCTGCTGGTCCTTGAGCAGGCCGTCTTTCAGCCTCCTTGCCCTTTGCAATCTTGCATTTCGAAGTCTGCCCCCGCCCCGCTTGACCTACTCCTTGTCTCGCTGCTCCTTTTTCTGCTTGAGAAACTTGGCGATGACCTCCGGCGCGATGACGGGCTTGATCTTTTCCGGACTCTGGAAATCATTGATAGTCCGATCAAGGGCCTCCTTGGGGGTCTCATCAAAGGGAATGTTGTGGGTCTCATTGCTCAGGCGCGTGCGGGACTGCTCTCTCTCCATCAACTTCTCCTTGCCTTTCCGCGTATTTGGATCTACCAAGCCCATCAAGTCTTTGACATCCTCCAAGTCCCAGCCGAAGGCTTCAAGGGTATGGATTATTTGCCAAACAGCGACCATGGGATCCTGTCCAGGCTGGAGATGAAAGTCCAACTCGTGTGTCAGCATGTGCATAGCCCACTCAGCAGGGGTGGGCTCAGGAGGACGCATGATGGACTCCTGTGCGCGGCGGCGTGCGACTTCCTCCTCGTTGGGGATAAAGTTGATAGGCATAGGCTCCACGTAGTCCATTATCCAGTCATTGTACATGAACTTGTAGAAACTTGGCAAGACTGACAGAATTTCATCGAAGTAGTGCTGGCCGTAGTTGGTCTCAAAGACGTCTGAGATAATCTTCATTCCGGGCAAGATATGGGCCAACATATGAGCTTCGACTAAAAATTCAAACTCGTAAGTTGGGGCAAAACCAGCATCCCAATCGACTTTCTCCCAGGGAGCAAGGTCAAAGGGACCTCTGGCAGGATCACGGAATTCCTTGGCTCGAATCTTGCCCACTGGGGCGAGATCGGGGCACAGCTCTCTGTAGTATGTGATGATTTCCTCAGTAGGTTCCTCTGCAGCGATGATCTCAAAGCCATCGATGTCTGGAACCTGTTTGGCTTCGATCATGTCCCTCTCAGCGAGAATCTTGAATTTGTGAGCAGTCCGATCATTCCCGGCAATTGCAACGGCATATTTGACGACCTTGCGAGCCATTTCAGAAGTGAAAACCTTTTGGTCAGCATATCGAACGTTCGTCCAAGCCTCGGGGTCATCCACTTCCTCGAAGTAATAGCCACCGAATAGCAAGGAACAGCCGCGGTTGAAATCCCCAGGGCCTTGGTGGTGCACAAGTTGCTGGTTCATCCACAACTCCTTGGTAGCCCGATCACAGGTCTTTCGGGCTTCCTCAAGATCCTCAGTCTGCTCAGGGCAAACATTGTGGTAGAGCAGGTAAGAAAAGAAATTTTTCATTGTGTCAGTGCACACTTTGATCTCCTCCTCGGTATCCGGGTTGTAGTAGCCCATGTAGAACCCAGTCCTATCAACCAAGTTAGCATCCACAACTTTGAATAAGGGTTCAAATATTGCAACACTCACAAATAGCCAGCAGCAACATCGTTGAAGGAGATTGGATATGGTTTTCCCCTCTTGGGAAAGATGGCCGTGTTGCAGCGCGCTTGCATTGCCTCTTCCTTGGTCATTTCCTTCAATTCCGAAGGAGTCACTCCCTGGGAATGATTGGGGCCGACGCTGACACCGCCGTACTGTAGATACTTGAGAAAAATCTTGCGTCTGTAGGGCTCAAGGCGTCGCTTGTACAAGAAGCGCTTGATGCCTTCGTCAAGTCGACTGGATGGGTCATATTAGTATTTGGTACGTTAGAATACTTGAGGATCATACTCAAGAATGGGTAAAGCACTGACATGAAGAGTTAGAAAATGTCTCAGTCAGGGAGATGTAAGTGCACATACGGATCATAGATGGTCTTGTTATCCTCGAACTCCATCGGGGTCATGGGTGCATCGGCATAGAATGGCTCAAACCCCGAGGGTGCATTCTACAAAGACTGTTAGACAATATCCCGGCAGGGCAAATTAAAGTCCTACCACTCCTCTCTGGCTCTTGGGGCGCTTCTTATTCTTCTTCTTCTTTGAAGAAGTATCAACGTCAAGTTCAACGTTTGCAAGAAATTTTTCCTCGTCGGGATCATGCTTGAATCCAACCTTAGGCCCAATCTCCGATACTGCATTGTTCTTTGCGTTAGAAGTGGCTGCAGTACTTTCTGGCTCCTTTGGAACGACAGCAAAATCATTTTCTTTCGGCAAACCGTGTCCAAGGTCAGCCTTAGCTGGAACCTTGATAACACGCATGTTAAATTCCTTGTTGGAATCGACCAAAGACTCCTCAGCCTTGAGAAAAAATTTCAGCATGTCTTCTATTTGAGATGTCAAAGGGATTGGGACGCAGTCAGAACACTCACATTGTGCTCAGTCTTGGATGCAACTTCTGACTTCTTCAGCTCAGACTTTGCAAACATAGCCGAGTCAATTAAATGAACACTGGCGTACTGAGCGGATGATCGACGCGGTTTAGAGACCGACTCCGGAGAGGAAGTTAATGATCCTTCCTTGGCAGCTTCGCCATGCTCTTGGTCCGGAATGGTGGGGTCAAGGTTGGCAGCGGCACTGTCGCCAGCCATAGCCTCCGTAGGCTTCGTAGGCTTGTCAGAGAGACAGAAGTTCAGTGACTGAGCAACTGTAGACCGGTTGCCTTCACATGTAGGCTTAGGAATATCATCCATGATGAATGATAAAGGTAATGAGGCGTGACAAGATGATGGCTCTGTGCCGTGCACAATGAGGGTGAAAGTTAGGAAGAGAGAGGAAAAGATCAAAGCATTAAGAGGAGACTCAATAGCAGGCAGTCAATGGGATTGCCCTAGTCGTGATGATCAGCCCTGATGCCAAGTTGCGATGAAGCTCATTTATAGATGAGGTCAAACAACTAAATGAAGTGCTATTCATGTCTTTAATGCTCATGAGATGATGCAAAGTAGTTTACAGCGACAGTAAGCCGCATTTGCAGTCCTGTGATATCGTATTTGGTAGTCTCCTTGCAGATGTCTTTTTTAGACATCATGTCCCTGTCAGTTTTATAGATCCACGAAGGCGAAGATAGGCATATTTTGTGGACTTTTCTGTGCATAACCAGGAATTTACAGTGCCTCAAAGGAAAAAAAGCAAGTTAAAAAAATTTGAGACTCGTGGTGTTGCATGGATGACTTGCTGAGAGATGCAGCGTGTGGATTGTATAATCACGGAGTTAGGGCCGAATGATATTGCCCCCCGCATTTCGGCTGTGGTCATATCTGCCATTTGACAGAGATCTCACTTCTCATCCAGATGGTATTGGGTTGAGTCATGCTTTGAATCACCTTCTCTGTATCCTATTTGCCAAGTTTAAGGCTATCTGTGGACCTCCACGGCTGAGGGCTACTCTATTTGTTTGGGTCATCCGGAATACAACCCCTTTCCAACTATATAGCCTAGTGATTGTATCACAATGCCCTCGAAACCAGAAATTCGAAAGACACCACAGCTAGGCAGTGAGGAGCTGGTTCCTTTTGACCACGCTGCTGCTGGACAGTAAGTTTCCACACCCGCTCTGTTCCTGGCGCGACGTCCCGCGTGGGTTAACCTAAATGAGTGCGTGAAAGAAAACCAGCTCTGGGGACTTCAGTCCAATTTGAAATTGATGGCTATGCTAAAAACCAATTCCTATCCAGTGAAGGCGTTCGCTGTACGACCTCTGGCGCGCTGATCGCAAAACCGTGCACGCGGCAGGAGGTAGAATTCTACGAATCCAGCGCGCTCCACCCAGCAATCCAGGAGTTTATGCCCCTCTACATTGGATCCCTCTCATCTTCCCCGCAACAGCAACCGCTGGCGATTGCTGTCGCCCGAGGATCTAGCGTCCTGCCCCTCCCCGACTCTGGCGACAAAGCCACCGATTTCTCCCTTCCTGCCCATCCGCCGTCACACACAACCGCCGCGCACGAAGACGGCGCTGCCCCCACCAAGGAGGAAGCAGCATGGGTGCCCTCTGGAGGCAAGGAAATTGATACTGGCTTGTCAGTCGTGTTGGAGAACATCGCATGTGGGTTCCGGCGGCCGAACGTGCTAGACGTTAAGCTCGGCGCGCGTTTATGGGCCGACGATGCGCCGCTCGAGAAGCGGAAGAAGCTTGATGCCGTCTCTATGGAAACTACCAGCTCTAGCCTTGGATATCGCATCGCGGGCATGAAAGTCTGGACTGGCCACAATGGGGAGACTGATGAAGGTGACCGAACAGATCCTTATGCTACGAAAGATGAGGGCGCAGAGGGCGAAAGGGGCGAAGTCATCGAGAAGGATGGTTATCGCCGCTACGACAAGTGGTACGGTCGCTCTTTCAATAAGGATAATGTCAAGCAGGGCTTTGGAACTTTCCTTGCTGGCGCAAAGGCGGGCAAGATAGACCGATCAAAGATGGTTGCCCAGCGCTTGGCAAGGGAATTGAAAGATCTGCAGCTGGTTATTGAAGCCGAAGAGAGCCGGATGTACTCCGCAAGTGTGCTAGTGGTCTACGAAGGGGATATTGAAGCGATGGAGCGTGCAATTGAAGAGGAACAGAAAGTCCCAGCGCCCCGTTCCCAGGAAGACGAAGCCGAAGCCGAAGACGATGACGAATTTGAACTACCCGAAGAAACTTTGGAGCTGGTCAATGTCCATCTTGGTGATGGGACGCCTCAACAGGCTATCAACATCAGCATTGATCCCGAAACTATGCCATTGCCCGACGATGACGATGACGAAGAGGACGAAATTCCTAAAGTACACGCTCTCCGCCTGATTGATTTTGCACATGCCAGCTGGACCCCTGGTCAGGGACCCGATGAGAATCTTCTCAAGGGTGTGCGCAGCCTGGTGAAGGTCTTCGAGGAACTGGCAGAGTGAAAGATAAAGTATAGAATCGCTTGTGCCCAAAGTTGCTGGCAGCCGTTGGGTGCGCTACCACCTTGCAGGTTTTGTTTCTTTTCAATCGGCTACATATATAGATCAAATCTTCATTTATCATTCAACCAATTTATTCCATTCCTTCTTTCCAAGGTTTATTATTCGAGCACCAGGGCCGCATAGAAAGTTGCTGACATAATCCCGCCGAGACTTCATCGATCTTCAACATCGCGGAATCGCAGCTGCGGAAACCCTCAAACCAAAATGTTCCCCACACGCGCCCTTTTCGGCCGGTCCGTTTGGAAAGGTGAGTCTTGTCAGATCTAGACGATCTCTATTCTAAGTTCAATTTCCAAGAGATCGTAGGCTAACAAGTTCAACAGGCCCCAATATTGTCCCGTACGTGACATCCAACTCAGGCCAAATAGAACCCGAACCCGCCCTACCTTCGAACTAGAAAACCATCTCACATTGGGAAACCCCCATAATGGAACTCAAAGCTGACTGGATGATCAAAAATAGCCTCCCTCTCCCTCGCACCTTTCCTCCTCCACCCAACACTCCCCCGATCCGCACCACGAAACGCGCAGCAACCATCCTCCCGAACTTTGTTGGTCTGCGCTTTGCCGTGCACAATGGCAAGACATATGTTGAGATCCAGGTGACAGAGGAAATGGTCGGACGGAAGCTTGGAGAATATGTTGCGTATGTATACAAATTCACGCCTTTTCAGCATGTGCATGATGAGAGGTTCGGAGGGATGTGGTTAGTTACTAACACTTCGTTTGCTATAAAGGACCCGCAAGCGCTTCACATACAAGCAGTCTAAGAACAAATAAACGATTCGCATGATCACCTGGTGCGGATACCTCTTTGCGCTAGGAAAGCTGCATTACATTTCTTTGTATTGCCACATTATGTACAGATATACCGTTGGCTTCTATGTGACATTAGCTGCTTTGGGGTCGGAGTTCAATATACAGTCTTCTTTTTCCTAAATGCAAACTGCAAATCGCAAAGTTCAATGCGACTTGTGTACATTGCCCAGATATAGAACAATCATCAAAAAGGCATGTGTCAAAGCCCTATTACTTGCTGGCCTCACTTCCATCTGCGGTGTCCTCTTGATGGCCCAACATCACATGGAAAAATGTTTCATTTTGTTCCATAACTAATTTCTGCGGTATTGCATACATAGATTCTAGCAACCAAAAAGTCACAGTTAGAAGAAGAGAAAACGCCATCCTTTGGATCCCCCACCAGCCCAGACTAACAATGCAGTCATGATCCCAGGTCACTCAGGACCATTTGCACACCTCAACTCCATAA